AGGAGATTTGCTCGACTGCATATACTGATTATTTGCATGCATGAGTGTGTCGCTAAACCATCAATTAGACTGACAAGGTTTTCAGATATTTACTGAGTGAGCATCTGATAGAGAAACATACTGTAATCATCTGTAGTGAATGAAGATAAAAGAAAAAAAACAACACTAGTGATAATTATAAGTCAATTTGCTGACCGATTTTGTTAATAGTTTCATTAATTTTATCAATCATATTACGTGATTGTCAAGTCATGACAATGCTTTATGACGATATCCTGAAACTATTACGTTTAACTAGTTATAGTGTTGAATGAGGATTAGTCAGTGGAAAAATAGGTATTGTTGCTTTAGGTGATTCGAGATTGTCAGAAATTTGTAACGTCAAAGAATCCGAGACGCCTAATTTAATTAAAAATTTTAATTCAGAAAGATTCGTTTAGTGTTAATTCTAGTAGGCTACGGAGTTTTGATTTGAAACGTTTGTTTAGCCAACAGCTACCTGGGGATTTAGTTATTTTACTAGTGCAGTTGATAGTACTTAAATTTTTAATCTTATTATCTAAACTATGTTCGCATTCTAGGCTGCTACTATGATAAATCAATCCATAAACCCAAATATGATTAGCAACAACGACTATGGTGGGCTTATTGATAAATGTTAAAGGCGATTCAGATGATTTCTAAATTCAAAAGATATGAAGATATAGTAAAACGTATGTACGGGCCACGTTAACATGCAGGTTGTTGACGTATATGACGATTTAAAAATAATGAAAATGACCAGAAAATAATTTTAAAGTTTAGACTGCTTGTGAAACTTCAGGCAGGAATATGATGCGTTATAAACATTCCATATGAAGTTACTGCATTTAGCCTAGGGACACTAACAAATATATGGCAAAAGGAACCGGAAAACATATACATGTTAAGTAAAAAAATCATTAAGTAAAATAGTTGAACTCGCCTGGGTTATTTTTGAAAATTATATTATTCAGTGGACGAAATATATAACGCCATTCGTGAGTAGTAATGATCCAAAAGTATCCAGAATAAAACATGCAGTATGACAATTAAATCCAGGGTCCTTGATGCTGTTGACGTTTTTGCCACTCGCTCGGATCAGAACAATCGAATGAATCCAGATAATTGTGTGGTTGTTATTGAACGACCCATCGTATGTTTTTGGAGAAGTGTCATCCTTGTTGTTTGGCAATGGAATTCGAGAATATGAAATTAGGCAGGCAGTGGTCGGAAGAAAATATATTACAGGATAGTGCATAGTTTAAAACAGGATGAGGTGTTAGGTGAAGGAACACTGATAATTAGATCCCGATAACTATTTAGTCCTTGATTGCATTGTTAGTCAATGTATACTTACGCTATTTACAGGTCATATTTGCTAGAGCTTGATGTTTAAACAAGTCTATGTTGCTGAAGCATGTAAATGCTATTAAAGCTTGGTAACGAACAATCAAAGCTAATTAGTTGATATAGATGATCAACTTTTATTATCGATTGAGCTAGTAAGTTATGTGAACTAATAGATAAAACATTACGATAATATATGTGACCATTAATCAAAGGACTATTAGAATAGTGGGTTTACAAAAATAAAAACCGATTGAGGAGGTTAAGGTGGAAATAAGGATTAACAATAATAGGTTGCGTTTCTTTAGTTGGGCTCACCAATGTAGAACTATGGTCTACTATGATATTAGTACTGCTCTAATTATAGACCTAATCCTAAATTTGTAGGTTTGTCATGACATAACTGCCTAATCTATAAGATCTTACGTGGAAGTCACACCATCGACTACACCAACTCACTATGTCGTATCAATTACCAATACATGATGTAGAACAAGGCTAGGCTAGAGGAAGAACAATATATTTAATATGAATAGAAGATATAAGGAAACATTCGGCAGAGACCACGCCTGCAGGGCCGAGTCATGCCACTCGATCAACTCCAGTCAATTCAATTCCTTATTCGCGCCATCTCCATCGTTAGGTATTTCTCCGCGTTAAATATTGAATATCTATTTTCTGAGCAGTCTCGTGTTCACAGCTTTGTGGATTGTGTGGCCATTGTCTAATGCCACTACAAGTCCACCAAATCGTGACAAAACATTGTTTGTTGTACAAACATTCTCATCTCGGAGTTCAAGCGGCTATCAAGATCAATCCAGAACTATTTTGATGGTTTGATATGAATGAAGATGTGGGGGCGCGTTTCTATGTAGGCTCCCAGAAACCTTAGGTGATTAGACCAACAAACGTCCCTTAAGATATTTCGGAACTCTTGATGCTCGTTTCGACCACGTTCATTTTGATTTTGTGTGACCCTTACTTGATTTAAATGGATGCACTTATATCTGAACGTGTGTTGACCGTTTCGCACTTTAACCAGAAGCAGTACCTACCGGGAAACTTACGACTAGGACAGTGACCTACGAATATGTCGAACGATGAACAGCGAACTTTGGCTGCCCTCGAGCTATCACTACAGGCCGTGGATGCCGATTCGAATTCGGACATTGCGTAACGTTCCGTTTTATCTTAGTCTATACACCCCACAGTTAGTTAGTTGTATTCTGTTTTGTTTAGAATATTTTGTCGAAAAATAGTCTTTTACTGCTATGCTTACACATTCAAAAGAACCTTTTTGTGCAGACATTTATGTGCAAATATACCATGTATTTTTTCAAGTGTATTTTCACACGCACTTACACCTTTTTTTCTTCAAGACGACCGAGAAAAGACGATCATATTCTGGGGGCATCACGAGCTATTATAACAGTGTTTACCTACAACAAGCTCGATCGGTTTAAACTTGTGGCTGGTCACTTCTTAGGGTCATCAGAAAACAACTAAGAGAGAAGTGAACGGTGTAGGTAAACGATTTCTTAGAATAAATGTCCCTTCAAGCTAACATTGGGCTGACCTCATTAGTTTTACTGGTCACAAACTGGCTAGAGGGGCTCGGTCACGCATCCGCACGAATGGTTGCACCCTGCTACGTATCTCTTACAACTACCAGCCAAATGTGGTATATATATAATTCAAGATAGTGCAAATGAGGAATAGTCAAAAATGAGGATATCTATCGGATATACGGGTGTAGATAGTTATTAAATTAATAAAGTGTTTATATGGCTGCTTATTAAGCGGGAACAAGAAGTCATCAGTCTTCAGTAGTAAGGATAGCAGGTCTTTTATCACAGCTGATTGTTGGCCTTTCGCCGTCGTTGATAAAAAAACACTCAACTAAAACACTCTGATAAGGCGTCAGCCTTTGTGACAACATTTCTTGTCAGTGTCGACGGGTTTTTCGTATTCAAGTGTTGGGATTTCATCGTTTCTCTGAGTTCGCCTTTTTGTTTGCGAGAAAAACATTTTGTACGGTTTTCATAATCTTTAACCAACTGTTTTTTATATGAATGTCGAGCTTTATTTATCAAGGCTTTCTAAGCGTCCCTAGTTTTACAGTAAATGCATCTGTACTGTCCAAAGACTGCAATAATAAACATATTCCATTGCTTTTCGCTACCTCCAAGAAGCCTCTTGACCTACTTAGTTATCCACAGTGGACAGTTATTTGGTCTTAATGGCACTAACTATGGTATGAACTGTGACAACTAAACCAAGTGTACCTTTAGATATAGACCATACTTCCCGATGTGATGATTTAACGGAAGATTTCATGATTTCTCTGATCCTAGGATTACCTTGGGGAGTCTATAAAGTCGGGGTTCAACATTTTGTTCTGTCCTATTTATTCTTATCCAACTTTTGATCTGAACTTCTATAGAGTCATCTGGTAAGATGCTACGAATAAATGCTCCGAATCTCTTATTTTTGGATCAAAACCGTTTAGTTCTAGCCTATTATTTACAATAATTTTCGATGAGAACAAGGCTTTTCAGTCATGCTAGGGTTTAGCTCAGCCCTGCCTTGGAAATTTGGCGGTGCATTCTGTGAGGAAGAATGGTAATGTATCAAAGACTTACCTACCAAACTGGTGCTGTCCATGGCTTTCATCTTTAGCATCTTTATCTTCACACGGTAATTTTTCCCGTCACTCAGTACAGACATGTCGGAACTATTGGAGACAGTGAAGGTTTTATCCGGGTCCTCAAGTGCTACTTCAACTCGTAACTACCAACATTTAGTGTCATTCCACTCTTTGTTTGTTTCAGGGGAGAATTTCGTTCTCGGTGCTTAGCAGTCGAGTGTTTGGCTCATCATACAGCAACACTTACTATACTGACACAATTTGTTGTCAGTACCTATGTTAACGATGTGGCCACTGTCAACTTTCTCGCAGATCAAAACCAGAAGGTTCATTGGCTCCCTGATCAGCAATTTAGCACTTGAATAGCGAAATATACAAATCCAACCGTAGTTAGGCTTCGACTAACGTTTGTTACTGGAGGGACTGACACGGGTTTACATCTAGTAGAACCACATTTTACACTCATCGCAATGAATTTCTTTCATTTGCAAGGAAAAATGATCTGTTCACACTTTTAAGTACAGCTGACCATTATTAACAGATTAGACATGTAGAAAAAAGAACAAAAACACAATATAATCAATAGTGTGAGAATCAAATACAAGGGCACCACAAGACGGATTTGAAGAAAATTTCAAACCTTAACCGAAATAATTCAAGTTGAAGCAGACCAAGGATGTTTTGGATGCAACAAATACACAAAAGTAAGGTTGATTTGCGACAAGAACGAAACCACTGCCGTTTTGTAAAACGCATGAGTGTGTTTTTTTAATTCATGGTTGACAATCCGTATCTCATACAAGAAAACAGCAAAGCTGGAAAGGGAGAGTCGAAGCTAAATTTGGACAATAATTCCGTAGACAGTAATAACGATTACGCAAAAAAGTGGAATTCTGAAATATGTGGGTAATAACAATGTTATCTACAACAGAAGTCTACAACAGTCGAAAATCCAAGGTTGTCTTTAGTCTTGTCAAGGTTCCGTAAAGTGGCTTTTTTGAATGTAAAAACTCACGCCTGTTTCATTTATTTCTGCCGATTGCTTTTACTATTCAATGTTATTATATCCAATTCTCTTGCTGAATCTTCAGCACAATTTTCATCCTGTTCTTCCTTCCAGATTATTTCATAAATTGCTCTTCACACTCCCTTACCATACAACACGCATTCAGACAAGGTGCAAAACTACCGTCAAAAGCATTGGATTCTTATGGCTAATGATGTTTCGTCTTTGAGGTTGGAGTTACTCAGTGCCAAGTCCAGACTGGTTAACTATTTGCAGAATCATCATAATTTTCGGCCAGTTCAGAGAGAGTTTCTAGAGTTAGTGTCCGAATTCGAAATATTAAAACTAAAGGCTCAAGATATATATGGGATATCAAGAGAAAAGGTTTGTTATTATTGCTCATATGAACTTGTATATTCATTGCAATCTTAAGTTTCTATTCTGGTGATATCACCTGAGTGAAACATATGGATTCAATACACGAGTACAAAGCGTCTTTTTCCAGACTGTCCTCATACGAATGTGATACTTCTTAGGCTCCACAAAGTTTGTCAAGAAAATTTTTATTGTCCATTGTTTTGGACTTTGCTAAATGTCTTGATGACTAGTCGATTTTACATAAAAGTTACGTCCGGAAATAAGTAGGTCTTGTTTCTTAGTTTTTGTCCTTAAGTTCCTACGATACACTATCTTGAAAGACGTTTTTTTTCTTCTCTCAGTCTTGAGCATGACTAATGTTAACTGAGAAGCATTCTTTGCATTTTCGTTGGTAATGATCTTTGTTATCACGTGTAATCATAAGCAAGACGATCTTAAGCTTTGACCCATATATGGAAAATGCATATAAATGTTCCCTGTTCTAGCTCGGGAAATCCATATTGGTTTTAAATGTCTTTTCTCAAGACGATTACGCCTCGTTCCATTAGACCCTTAAACTAGAGGTACTTCATGCTGTTCATGATATGTACTGATTATTATGAAGTCGGATATATAAATGAACTATTCAGCTATGCCTACTAATTAAAAACGGCGAGACTCTAATTTATGGACGACCTTTCAACGAATCTTAAGTGACCTTGAAAAATATTAGCCAATCATCAAACAGTCAGTATAGGCTAAAAATATGTTATACAAAACCAAGGAAATATAGAGGTTCTAAAATCGTAATGCATGCAGTAGAGGAATTCATCCATACGGCTACAGAATAGTCGGCCTCTGGTGGCAACTCGAACTGATGTACGTACGTACGAAGTTCTACTTTGTGACTGACTGACTGAGTCGGCCTCTGGATCCATGATAAAGTCTCAAAATCTCTTTCAGCCTCGACCACATAGCTTCAATATTGTTTATGTGCACTCCGGTTGTTGAGTACACAAAATACCACTTGTGGACAACGACACGATGCACATAAAAAAGCCTATGTAGGAGTCTTTACGTTCTTTAATCATCTGTATATATTGTAGTAACTGGCTGAAGCAAGTGTTACTAGTGCTTTCATTATCCAGTTCGCGATAAGTGACATAATTTGCTTCAGTTAGGAATTACATATGGGGTTTTCATCATGACATAGGCTATAATGCCAGAAATTTATTTAGCCAAATGGATGAAAGGCTTTCGCGTTAAAATCCGAGATCTGTTATCTTATACCTGATCGATTCGTCCACAAATTATAGTCTCGCCGTTTCATTTGTTATAGCCGCTCAATTATCATGTTTTGTACAAAATTCTTTGTGAACCCATCGTACGTTAGCATTAAGCACTGAAGTTGGCGCCATAACCTTGAAATCCTTCAAACGGCTCTAATTGGCTCGTCCATAAATTAGAGTCTCTCCATTAAAAACATTACATTATGGGGACCTCAGAATCTGCTTGTCCTTTATTAAGGTGAACTATTGTGTGTTGAAAGATGATTGATATTTTCATAACGAGTCTTGAATAGTAAAAATTAATGCATACAACATGTTCGTGTTTAATTCAATTTGTGTGAGGGTTGGAATGCTGCCCGATGACCGAAAATTGGTCCATACGCCATTTGTTCCCTCAGGATCCTGGAGCCCATGTGAACCATTTATTTAGAATCAGGGTTTTCCAACTTCCTTAGGCGGATCCTCCGTGTCCACCAACTCGGTTAAAGTCCCCATCGGACACTCGCTTTTCGTCTTCTCAACTTCGTGAACGACACCCCTATTAAGAGAAGTCAGTGAGTAGAACTTTCCTGACAAAGGCTGTAAATACGCGGCCATGTGAGAGCGTATGGGGAGGAAGAACGGTTTTTATCCACTCTCGACCGTATCGAGGCAAATTACTGTCAAGCAAACGCCTACTGAAATTTGTTATGTGAAGGGCGCGATTTTGCGAACCTGACCATCTAATCTTAGGATATAACCTGTAGTATTAAGTTCAACAGATGTAAATAAATATACAAAAAACAGCTAGAAAATCTGTTGATATTTTTTACATGTTTATCATTTTTGCTACCATATCGTGGTACATAACTAGACATATTGGGAACGAAATTTCTTTTGTTTTTAAAGGTGATTGTCTCAATTTCAGTTCTGTTCATTGCCTATCCATTTGTACCATTCTGATCATAAATGTTAGCATAATGAATCAAAAATTTAACGGTTTTTGTGCACAGAGCTATTTTAAATTTTTCAACATTTAACCTTCCCTCTAATATAATAGTTTCAAGTATGTGAACCTCAAAAGTTTCGAAGCTCTCCACAGTAAAGCATCGGCTTAGTGGTCAAGGCGTTCGACTTTCAGCCACTGAGTCGGTCAGAATCCTGTTTTACCTGCCCGACCTGGGCAATCGGGTAGTACATCATCTCATACCTGTAATGTGGCTCACGTTTAATGAATGAATTTATTTATCTGTTATATTCATAGATCCTTTCTTTATATTAAAAATTTACTCACTTCAGTCTGCTTCAGGGACTATTTTTCATGTTGAAAATTCCTTCGACTGGGTAATATTTTTTGCTTCGAAGTAGCTAGTTGAAAAACGTTAACCAAAGTATTGAGATAATACATTACGGAAGTATTCCACCAAATTTTCTTCGATATCATTCTTTTTACTTTTTAAAGCGTAGTTCTTTTTGTTTGTATATGTACATAATCGTGGTGATGTTCTTTGATCAGTTACTTATACATTTGGATGTCGTTTATATTCAGTGAACCGGTGGCTCAACGGTTAACGTGTTTGACTTTGAGTCACTAAAGTGCAGATCCGAACTTCACTCTACTTTTATCGGTCTGGGTGACTGGACAGCTTCAATAACCAGCATACATAAAATGTAGCTCAAAGCCGAGTGCACGTATCTGTACTTTGTAATTTAGTTAATAATAATATCTTTCGTTTCGAAAAGTTAGTTGTGTCTGTTTGCGGTATTCACTAGTTATTATTAAAGCTGAATCACCAGCTTCTTTCGGAAAGTAATTCAGTAAATAAAATATTTTCGTGTTTATCTAGGCAAACTAATCTGCATCATGTAAATTGAGCCAGAAATTAGAGTTTCACAGACTGATATGCTTAATTTCCTTGCGAATATATTACTCTAGTCCCAGTTATTTCTGTGTGCTTTCATAATAGATAACTGCAGGAGCTCTCTTACCATTACTGCTAGCTTTTAACTCTACATTTTCACTATATATGGAACATTTTTTCTTCAGGTTATACCTCAATTGAAGTCCGTTCATTTTGATCTAAATGAGGGAGACAATCGAGTATCCTCAGTGTCTAATATACACCAAAATGCAGTATCACAACTCCAGGAACTTTTGGATATGCATGACAATTGTTCCTATCTCCTAGAATTGCACCAGGCCATAAATAGCTTCGAGTCTTCAGTAAATCAACTGTTATACCAATGTTCACGTCGTTCGGTCGTTGATAAGAAAAAGAAATGGGAAGACACGGTTGTAAAATCTCCCAAAGACTCAGAGATTGATTTAGAACTCGATGATAAATGTGTGGAAATAGATGAAGAAACCTATCGGTTAGTAATCATTCTTATACACTTAGTGTATTTCGGAATATCCCTTGAAAAAATATCTTTTGGTATCCAGACAATAATAGTGTTTGTACTAACAGAACAAATTACTGTGTTCAATTAAAAGCCTCTTTGTATGGAATACCGATTTCTTCCTACAAGCTGCAGAATAAACATCCAAGTGCGACCTCTGAAGAAAACCATCTCACCAACCATTGTTCGCTTTCTTAGTATTTTACTCTTGAGATATCCCATTTTTATTTCTGGTTTAATGTGGTAGTTTACTACCGTCAAAACTCAGGTCTAAGCGATTACTTCTATTCACTATTGAAATGTTTGACTAGACAAATTTGTAACAGTATAGCTTTTTAATTGTTTTCTACGTAGTTAAATCTGCTTCGGAAAACAGAAAGTTTTAGACCAAACTAGAATATTATTCACATTTCATGCTTAGTTATGCTTTTCAAATTCTTTTATTTCTGAAGTTAAACATTTCGCTCATAACTTTATGGGTCGTAGGATTTCCGTGTAATAGTTTAATCCTTTAAAGCCAGTTTAGTGTTAACTCTGATTAACAGGCATGTTTCGAAGTACGCAACCGTACAAACCTTCAATTTTATTTGTTTTACGAATTGATTTGGGTTAAAGCCTGATTTCCAACAACAAATCTGGATAATGTTGCATACGTTCTGTAGACATCATACAACTTGCGCGTCTAACGTTAAACGATACCGGAAATATTTTGATATTTCTTTTAAGCTCATTTGAACTATTTACAGTGATATCTGACACAGTGTGGGTCTTGTATCAGTCATAAGCAACGTAAAAACCTTGGATTAATGTCAATCAGTTCAAATTGGTACAGAGCATCTGCACAGTGAGATAAATTCATAAAGATAAATATCAAATTAACAAAAGTAGTCATATTAATCGTAATAAAACAGATGTAACAACGAATATGATTCAAGAAGAAACAATTAATTCGCAGAATAAATATATAAATACCTTTAGAATTCAGGATTAAAAGGAGTACAAACAGTGAATAAATCTATCCCATTGCCACTAATTCTAAATTATATTTTCCAAAGCCTTCAATGATCAATCACGTTAGTCATACGAATCTCAACCAGTTAGTCTATATCTGGTAACATATCTCAAACGAACAATCGAAGGCTTCATAGATTGATGCTTTTAAAAAAAATTTATTTAACACTTTATCCATACTAAGTGTCGAACAAATTCAATATTTTAATCTGCCTATTACATCATTTCATTGTGTATATGTACGTGTATGTTACTATTTTTAGTTTATTATTGTGAAATATACATCTTTTTGTTCCTTCGTCTTACCTAGTTTATGTGTTGATACTGTGGTAACATCACTTGAAGAATCTGAACATCTACTTGCGAAACATAAAAAGTTTAGTAAAGATGTAGTACTTGTCTTTCAAAGTTGTCAACAAACATTTACACGTTGCAAGGTATTACGGTTATTTCTTTTTTGTTTTTCCAACTCATAATATTATTTTCTACCATTTTTCATTATGTATATTTCGTGATATTAGGCTACGCATAGATTTATTTGCATTAGTGACGGTAAACGCATAATAAGCCATAACTACCATAGTTTATTTATTATTTATTTTTGTTTAAACACACCAACGTCGGTACAAGAAGACACCAAATATATGTGCCATACAAATAGACTTTTGTGAGGGATGGGGTACTTCCCTGGTGCTCAAACCGAGTCGGGTGGTTTTCTTAGAAGGCTACTCCCCGAGCCTTTGACCTAAAGGTCTAATACACAAGGCAGTGGAGCAACGTAAGGAGATGCAGTCCCATTTTAGCCGGTAACCAACAATTGGTTCATACACTATTTGTCCCTTCAGAATCCTGGATCCCATGTGCACCGATGGTTTAGAATCGGTGTCCACCAACCATAATAAAGCACCGGACATTTGCTTTTCGTCCTCTTAATTTCGTAAACAACATCCCCGCTATGAGAAGGTAGTGAGTAAGACTTCCCTGGCAGTGGTTGTATGCACGTGGCTATGTAAGAGCATTTAGATAGGGAGAGCTAACTCTTCCCACTCTCGGCCATACCAGGGTATTTGGGGGATTATCGACGTCCAAACTGTTCTTTTTCACTACTGGTACAGTATAGGATTAGGTTGGAAAAACGTTAGGAGTGTTCAAATCAAGACTTGACATGTATCCATGCTGTTAGTGACTGTTGAACCGAGCCATGTTGATAAATGCAGATTGTATTGTTTAAGGTCCGCGTAATTTTCAGAATTAATAATTAGAGAATAAATCTGAGTTGTATGGCTTAGAGTAGTTTGCAATGGCCCATATCCATTCACTTTATTGGGGATGTCCAATCCCTAAAAGTTCATCTTTTGAAAAATGGAAACAGTATTGATGAAAATGAATTTCTGTTGCATTAAATTATTTAGTGTGAACTCTGCTCATGGACTTTCAATACAGTTTTGCTGATTTCTATATTGTGACAAATAATCAGTTCAGTACTTCTATTCTTTGTAATTAATACATGGTCGAATAACTTAATTGTATCTTCGTAATAATATACTGGGTTCATCATCAAAAGGTTTCAATTAGTAAACTGATCTTTCTATTCTAGTTATTCGGGTGGAAAGTAGTCTCGTTCATTTCATTGAAGTCAGAGTTGTGAGATCTTAGCATAGGATATGAATTAATCACACTCTCTTCCATCCTTTAGGTACTAAGTTTCTTAATTATGTTACTAAAATCCTTTTTTCTACTCCAGAAATCCTTATTTTCTTCATGAATCGTATCTGAAATCTCCAATCCTTTTTATTACTACTAATACTGCTGCTAACTATACTACTTTGGCATATCGCTTTGCTGATGTAGTTTGACAGCTTGAGTTAATACACATATGGACCAAGTTCTACATTCCATTTGACTAACCACTCAGCACAGTCTTGTTCATTTATTTATTTAAACACATAAACATTCGCAAAAAAGAGCATCGAAATATAAGTGCGCTACAAAAAGTAGTTATCACTAAATGTGTGTCTGCTTGGATACTTTTCGAGTGCCCAAACCGGAACAAGTAGTTATTTTAGGAGGCCACTACCTGAAATTTTGAGTCAGAGGTCTAATCCACAAACAAGGAAGTAGAGCAGCGTTAGAAGATGCGATCCCATGGTATCCGGTGACCAACAATAGGTTTATACTCCATTTGTTCTCTCAACATCCTGGATCTCATCTGTTCCATTGGTTTGAAATCAGTGTTTTTCAACTCCACTAATTGAAGTTTGTTTAACAGAAAACTACTCAGGTTCAGTTTTATTGAAACTACAAATACTGTTTGCTAAAGCCTACTGAAACTATTCTATTTGCATCCCAGTTTTTTGAAGAATAATTCACTATATTGTAACTGTAAATTCTACATTTTTCAAACTTTGTATGTTTCATTATATTTTATTTTCAGAATCGTCTTACTCAACATGTTGATGATCTTTGGCGTCGGTGGATCATCCTAGAAGTTCCTTCAAAACATCAGAATGTATCTTCAAAGTTCAATGTTAATAATATATATCCTTCTATTCGTGGACAACTTCAGCCGAATGATTTTTTCAGTTTTTTATTCGATGCTTGTATACCATCACCTACTGATATGTGTAAATCTTTAAGACAGCCGAGTTATACATCCGATTCCGTTTTTTATGAAGTTTCTGATCATGATGTGCCGACTACTCAATCATACGGGGAATCCACTGTTTTAGCTAGTCTCAAAATATTGGCTAAACCTGGATTGATCTCTCAGTTGTTACGTATTATTGATGCTTTAAAAGAGTCTAAGGTTAGTGAACTATACTTTTTCCATATAGTTATTGATGGTATGGGGGGATCGTATCGATCTCAGTTAACTATTGGGCTGAATTACATGACAGAACTCCAAACTTTCTCATCTTCACTATTGATCGCTTTCTTGACATGTGACAAAGATATTTCGATATCACCTGGCAATTTAATCGTTACAAACAAGGTTGTTAAGGCTATAATTCACGCACGAACAAATGAAATTAAGGATAGCAAGTCTTGGATTTTGGCCCGAAATTCACTTATCCAAATGGTTAAGTATCATTGCGGCATTGTAATTGATGTCATTTTTTGATGAAAACCCTGACTCTAATTCCCAACCCTAACCTCACACCTGTTACTCGTAAAGCACAAGGCACCGACAGGGAATCTCCAAACTACTTTGTCCCGCGGGTGAGACTATAATTTATAGACGACCTTTGAGCGACGCCTAGTGACCTTGAGTGTCTACTTACTAGGGCTAAGTGAGGGTTATAAAGGAGTTTGAAGAATAAGGATTATGATTCACAGTTGATGGTTAGGGTTAGGAATTAGATTTATGGTTTTCATCACGTCAAAACGCTATTTGGACAAATCAGTGGGTGAATGTCCCATCAAAATCCAAGACCTGTTATCCTAAATCTGATTGGTTCGTCCATAACTTATAGCCTTGCCGTCCTGTGCTCTCTCGAGTTGTTGCCAAGTGCTATTTATTCTTTTAATGTTTGTCTCCAGTCCCCGACTCCTTGTGATCCTAGTTATGTCTTTTTTCCTTGATGACTCCAATCTCAGGCTTGCCTCGGGACGCAGTTTGATAATTTCTGTAAAATATATCCTCTTCACCTCCAGCGTTTATTTATTTATTTCAACACACAAAAGTTGGTACAAGCAGGCACCAAATATATATATATGCCACACAAATTATTCGATTTGTGTGAGGGCTCGTATACTGTTCGGTCGTCCAATCTGAAGCAGGTGGTTTTCTTAGAGGGCAGTACTTCGAACCTCTGACCTAAAGGTCTGGTCCACAAGGCAGTGGAGCAGCGTCAGGAGATTCAGTCCCATGGTAGCCGGTGACCAACAATCGGTTCATGTGTCCTTCCCTCAGTATCCTGGAACCCATGTGCACCATTGGTTTGGAATTAGTGTTTTCCAACTCCACTAGATGGACCCTCCGTCTCCACCAACCTGGTTAAAGCACAGGACATTTGCCTTTCGCCTTCTCAATTTCGTAAACAACACCCATGGTGTGAGAAGACAGTGAGTAGGACTTCCCTGGCAGTGGTTGTATACGCGTATCCATATGAGAGCATTTGGAGAGGGAGAGCTAACTCTCCCTACCATCGGTCGTACCAGGGGATTTGGTAGCAATCTATTAACTAGAGTTATTGAGATCATATATTAAGCGTATATGATTCTTTAATTTACTTAACTGCTTACAGTGAATGTAGTATGGAAAAAAGATTGAGGATTGGTAAACTAAAACATTACACTATATATTGTGAGGTAACATCAGCATGACAAATAAAATTGATAATCGAACACTATGTTGTAACCTGAATCTTAGTGTACTGGAACATTTGCATATAATTTTTTTCATCTTACTTTAAGTCTTAACATTTTTTTGATTTCTTGTGACTTAGTAAGTAGTTGGTTTTGATACTGAACTTCCTCTTGGTCAGTAACACCAAGTGTAGTAACCGAGAACTCAGATGGGAAAGTCAGTCAGTCAGTCAGCTACAACGTAGGACCAGGCACATATGTGCATCGGTCCAAGTTGCCATACCTCATTAACACAACAAGATGGACACCGGATTCATAGGAGTGGTTAGGTCAAAGGTTGCAATAAGGATATAGTATAGGAAGAAAGAATTAGTTCGTAGAAAGAAAGATATGAAGTGATTTTAATCTCTTAGTTTAAGGGAAGACGGAAAGTGTATACACCGACGCCATTGTGACCGATTCTGAGCCATGTCGCCAAGAGTCTCCAACCATTGGTTACGAAAGTCACGCGGACCCCAACCAAGTAGTCTGCATCTACCAACATGGCTGAGACTAGAAGTTAGTGATTTGAAGCACTGATGCCACGTTTTAGTTTGGCCACCCCTAACTTTCTTCCAACCATCCCCTACACCGGTTAGCATGGGAAAGACCAATTTATTGTTTAATGTAAAATTACAGAATGCTTTGACAAAATATTAAAACCATACATTGAATACATCATTTGTCCTTCACATGCTTCATGATTCTTTCAGTTTTGTTGTTAATAAAATTTACTTTCTGTTTTCTTCAATTGAGTCTTCTCAATCTTCTGCTAACATGCATTGCATTTCTGATTCGTATTACTTACTACTTATATTTGTCAACATAAGTAGCATACACCACAATACTACCTAGTTGCTCGAACTAATGTATGTTAATTTAATTTCGAATCTATGATCCAGCTGAAATTTGAATACATTAATCATATAGTCACCACAAATTATGAATATATAATTCCATACAAGCCATTTTCAATCTGTATGTGTCACCTTCTTATCATAATACCTGTTTCCTGGTTGCCTTACCCAGAAGTGTGCCAACTTTAATCAAAACACGTTTCATGCTCGTTACTACACAGTTTTTGTCTGTCTCTATTTCTCCTCTAGTAATGTTCAATGTAGTGACATTTGATTGTATAGTACATAACTGTCATATTTGTTAGTTAGATGTTTGTTAGCAGCAAGTTTAATAAAGGTTGTCTTTTTTAGATTTTGTGTAGACTGTAAATAAACTTTGACTGAAACAATTGATAAGTGGTTCATATTTGTCAGATATCCACCACACAATGTAACTGATATATACTAAAGCTGACAATACTTGGAAAATGAAACCTTAGTATAGTCTAAGGAAGATGCTCTATCTGTCTGTAAATTGACTAGATTAGATTAAGACACCATATCGAATTATTCTTATAAACAAGATCGTTTCTATAGAATGTCACTAGATTTTATAAAAAAATTCTCCTTTGTTTAGTTACTTGAAGGCATTTCGTATTTGACATTTATTTGTTTGATGGGGTCGGCATTAATATATCAGCAACGATATTCTTCTTTTTGGTTCTTTACAGAGTCGTATACTTGAATTGGCTAATCAAATTTGGACGTATATATTTAAACCTTGGCTTAAAAAGGTACCATGTGTGTCGGGACCAAATGTTGGCTGGGGAAAATTAAAGGTTGGTTTTTATCTTACGGTTGTTTAACTTTCTCATTTTATACAGTCTTTTTCATTGAGATAACTGTCATTCGTTCGTTCCATGGAGTTTTGTATGCTTTATGGTCAACGATAGAAATCATAGTTCATGATTGTTAACACTTACACCAGTAAAGCGATGTTTGGAAACACATGAATGTTGATCAATTAGTAGTATAGTTAGAAACATAATCATTATACTTACGATTTAAGCTTTGACTGACCTCTACTCTATTTTGATTGCATCGTTTTTCAGATGTTCGTGGAATTATTAACATATTAAAACATAACAGTCAGATTAATGACACTGGCATTGAATGTCAACTCACATCTTAATTAGTGTCCCTTTACTTGCTCTAGTGTTAATGGCGATCAAGTGTTGCTTAGAACTGTCTCACTATCTTTTTAGTTACCGGAAAGCTTGTGAACCACTCGGAAATAGTGTATTATTAAATTGTCTCTGTACCAAATCGCTGAATCCATACCTTTTTTCCACTTAACTACTATTTAAAATCTCGATGTGAAAATAATCCCTGCACATAGTATTTGCTCTCAAGTTTATAGTTGTCGTTTCAGTAGTTTCGGGCATTGGTTAATTAATTTTTTTAACTTCATAAATATTGGTACAAATGGGCACCAAAATAAATATGCGCTACACAATAAGATAATGGATAGATAGGGGAAGGGAAGTGCGTATATTAGGTAGAAGAAAAAACAAGAAATAGAAACAAATGTATGAGATTAGTAAATAACTTATGGGTAGAACTGAGTGGTGGACTCCAGGACGCGCATTTCATCCTACTTGGGACTCTTCAGTCTAATGCACCTGGCACATCCCAAAGTCGATATCAACTTCAGGACTGGAACCCAGTACCGTTCGCTTCAAACGTCAATGAAAAGACTTAGACAATCAATACAAAATGAATTATGACTTCACTCCATTGCACAAACCAGTGGCTATCTGAACTCAGTAGCTAAGTGGATAAATTGGTGGCGTTTGAAATGAACGGTACTGAGTTTGAGTCACTAAGTGAATGTCAACTCTAGAACGTGGTAGGTACATCCAGCTAACGAGTCTAAAATAGAAAGAAATGATTCACTTCTTGGATTCCATCGCTAGTCATCATTCATCTCTGCTTATAATGTTTAAAATGAAATTTGATGATGTTATTATCAATTTTATTATCTTTTTTTCTATTTGTTGTTATTGTATTAATTTTATAGTGTCAAATAATTGAACAATCTGTAAACATCGAATCAGATCATGAATTATTTATCAAAGAAATAGGCCTAGAAACAACCGATAATAATGATGTTTATATGACTCAATATTTACGTTTAACATTAATTGCTCCAAATACTCCTCCTCCTAATACTACTACTACAAATCCTAATGAAAATAATCATAATCATGATGACAACGAGGATGATGATGATGATAATTTAATCTCTAGTTCATGTAATCAATTAACTAAAGTATTTCAGGAGTTGTATACTTATCTATTTGGTTTACAAGCCATTCAATCAGACAATAAACGTTTTATTGATATAATTGTAAATAATAATATTGATAGTGATTCAGGAATGTTCAATAATGAATTAGTTAAAGATTTAATTGATGGACGTTTTAATGCTGGTTTACCATCAGCTGAAAAATTACATAAATCAGAGATAATTGCAATATTAACACAAGTTGTTCTACGATTAATTAGTGTTGGTCGAAATACTGGATTTTTAATAGATGATATTAATCACCTTCATGATGATGATGATGATAAGACTGATTCATTTAAAGTATCAGCTATTGGCGGTGCAACAAAATTAAATCTTTGGATTGATAGTCTTTCTATATTAAAACATAAACGATCAGCTAATGCAATATTAGAAGAATTACGTGAATTATTAGCTGATCGTAAATTATTTTATTCAATGTGTTCAACTAATAGTTTAGTAAAAGTATGTGAAAAAAACGCTACAACTACAACAACTAATTTCACTACAAAACATAATGATATTAATAATACTGATGAAGGTATTTATGAAGAGGATGACTTAATATTAGACGATTGTATCGAGAATGATACCATTGAATTGGAATATTCAGATAAAACTAATAAGAATGATCAAATTCTATCGAAACTATTAAAATCCAAAGGTAATTTGGATAATATTTCACGGCATTTAGATCTAGGACAATTTGATTTTCCTGATTGTATGGTAAGTAGTGACTCTATGTATTGTCCTCTAATTATTGACATTGTCTTGTATTTATCTGTTTATTGATTATTTAATTACTTGAAGAATGTATTTTCTTCTTTTACCTTCACCTCTGATGGGATTATTGGCACCTGACAATTCACAGTTGTGAAGGTTTGCAAACTTCTTGGTATATATTGTCATCAAAGATTCTAATCCAACTATCGAGTTACGCTTGAAATCCTAATATTGAAATATAAGATTTTTCTGGAATTACAGTATCATTAAAGAAAGCAACGTAAACAATCAAGTTTGCAAAGCTAAAATCATAAGTCAGGTATCCAGGTGTCAATAGTGTAATCAAAGACCCAGTTGAAATAAATAAGCATCCTTCAAATAATCATGTAAAAATTTAATTACAACACTCACTATTCACAACTGATTAATCATTGATTACTGAACAACGTTATGTATGCCAAGTCGTTATTAGCGCTACTCATTTATTTCTATCGATCAAGTTAAAATATGGCCACTGTTCTAAATGACTTGACATCTGATGTGTCAAACAGATAGTAGTGCTTAACCAAGTGAGAATCACGCTATGTTCGAAGCGAAATCCCATTAAATATCATACAATAAGGACGAAGAGAGATGGTATAACAAGTAAGGAAATATGCCAAAATATTGGATATAGTTGCTAGTATTAGAACTGGCAGTTTATAACTAGTGAAATATCGCACATACCAGGTTCGAAAAATGATTGATAATAACATAAACTAGCGAATACTAATAAGTAGTATATTGTAATGCACAAAAAGGATCGAGCAATAAAGAAGTATTTCTGTAAACCGTATTCAACTATCTTTTTATAATACTACCGTCACTAGATTTTTCCGTTAGAATCCTCAGATGGATTCTATATCGAGATTACAATGAATAACTATGGTAGGATATTAATTTTTACATACTGAAAATCGCAGTTACATATTATGTGTGTGTATTGGCTTATTTTCACTAACATTCATTGGAAAGCCCACTGTTCTCGTTGAGGTATAAATGTATCTATCTGTATGTCTGTTGTTAACCTTGTCTAATTATACTTCTATGAGTTGTAAAGAGTCATGAATTCACTGGGTACTTCCTTAGATTTTATTTGGATCATATAGGATAATGGATGCCCCATGAATAATGTAGACAGGTTTGTCTGCTAATGCGAGACACCACTTGACATGATTCAACAGTGAAAACAACAGTTTAAATACATATGATCCTTACTTTATAATACTGTATACCTTACCATAATTTGCTTTTATAAATTCCAAGTAATTGATTCATTCTACTTTCAACCTTTATCTTTCTCGAATAATTTTTATCAGTCCGTCATTCATGCTATGCACCACACATAACCTAGCATATATGCACATCAGCTCCAGTTGCCACACAAAATCAACACAGGGAATCCTAGAGTTATAGAGGTAGTAACAGTATTAGTGGTAGTAGAAAAGATTAAGTATAAACAATATAATTCGACAAGAGAATATAAATTGATTGAATAAAAGAGGAGATTTGAGCGGAGACAGAGGATGGATAAATCGGCAACACGGTCACTATTTTTGAGCCATGTCACCCAACATCAACAATTGGTTACGATAATCTCACGGACCACAACCACGTAGTTTCGACCTACCGACATGGTTCATTCTAACAGTCAGTAATTTCATGAACTAATGCCATGTCTTGGTTTCACCGTCGAATACCTAAACATAAACTTACTAAGGTGCCTTGAGTAATTATTTACCTATTACTGACGATCGACTAGTCAGTGTGCAATGATCGAATTCTACCAACCAAATGACTCAAAATCTCATGCACTCTGCTGAGATGTTAGGTAGTTGACACTAGTCAACACGAAACCCTGAACCTAGATGCCATTTGGCACACGTCATCAAGGTATAGTTGTGGTATGGATGGATCTGATGCCCCTGGTGGATTCCACGCAATATCAACCTAGTTTCAAAGTTTGAAACTTTGCCACTTAACTTATGAATCCCAAACAGCATGAAACCGAGATCCAGAGTTTCATACAGACAGCCTCTAACTACCCAACACTTATTACCTACAGTTCACACCCTTTTCTCATTTGATTCATCTTTCTTAATTCTCAAGACATTAGGTAATGAAAATACTACTATCATTTTAACACTACTTTAAAATTTTTTAGTAGTACTAGTGAATTCTGAAGAGATATGATTTACTCGTTATTCTGAATTGTGGGCAAGACGTAATGTTATCATGATATTATTGTAATTGAAACAAGTCAATAGTAATTGTCATAGTGAACTGTGCTTGAGTCTTCGTTGGGCTTCAAACTCTAAATTATGAAATAGTGAAATAATATTAACATTTGTGTTGAAATGATACCCAATAGAGTCTTCGACCAACACATTACAAATTATCATATTACTTCTCTACACATTCTGGTTGTAGAGTGGATTATCTGATTCCAACAAATGAACTAAACCAACTCACCAATGCAGCTGACTAATACATTATATGAGGCATCCTCTCATCTTGACAGAACTGAGTAGTACTCCTAGTGTATGGAGCGTTAATTATGTTAGGTTTTTGTTTATATCTGAAGTTCAAAAGTGTGATTATATAAATAGGCGAAATTCCTAGTCGCAGCTGTTATCTCAACGTTATACTTAAGTTTGCACATGGTGATGACCCTAGAAGCTTATATTATCAGGAATATTCATTTTTACCAGGTTGTACCATACCAGACAAGTTGATTAAGACTGAAATAAACAAATACAAGGTTGGAATTGTATAGTTATGCTGCCAACTGTCTAGGTGTAACATCAGCAAAGTATTTCCATCGGGAAACCAGCACCTACAGTGGTACTTCCTATAACTGAAGGAGGGGATTATAAAAGGTCGATCTTAAAAATACCAAATTTCACCTTACCCCACGGATTTCCGTTTTCGTCAGGCTTTACAAATATGGATCAGATTCACTTAAAACCGCTCACAAAATGACCATGTATGACTGGTCTTAAGCAGTTATCTCTTGAGCTCTGTGTTCACTTTTTCAGATGTTACTAAAACATCTAATCTAGTTTCCTTACCAGTTGATGAGAAGTATCCTTCAAAGATCTAGGCGATCAGGAAGTGACAACCTTCCTCACATATCTTGCAGCACACAAGTTGTACGACACTTACTGTAGCTTAGTAAGCTATTCGATTACTTGAGGATCCCAACATAAAGTTTTTTTCGATAAATGTTTTTTAACACATTTTACTAAATCATCATCACTGATAATTTTCAGTAGACAATGTAGATGGTTCATTCAGTTCATACTTGTATTTCCGTTAATTACATTTAAATATATCCTTTGAATAACGTAAAACTGTATATTACTACTAGCTTTAATGGTTATTGCCGGTTTACCGCTAAAAAAGTACTATTTACTAAAATCAGTTCTAATCTATTTCAACATGATTAATTATTCGTAGATTGCTAGTATTCGGCCATAGGTACCTTCAAAGCATTATAGTGTATATTTTAAGACCATCGAGTAAACAATGCCTGGGCTAGGAATAGGGTACTAGACAAAGATGGTAAATCGATTGATGAAGTAGTAAATCTTCATCAACTGAGGTGGTTGGAACATTTGTTACGTATGCCCAAGTACCACCTACCTTGTAGGGCGATGTTGTCTGGTGTAGGAGTAGATTAGATGAAATCTAGGGAGGCCAAAACCAGAATATGACATCAATCCATGAAAAGATCAACAGTTGGACTGAGCCATATCGATAGACGTAGACTACCTGATTTTGGTCCGTATGATTATCGTAATCAATGGTTGGACACTGAATGATATCGCTTCAGATAGTTTAAAATGTCATAGTTACATGTATTCCTTGTCTTTGACTGTGAGTCACACCGCTTCAAATAATTTGGAATGGCTCAGTTATATTCGTTCTTTGTTTTTCTCTAAATTCCGAGTTCCTAAATTCCCCATAAACTTTCTTGTTTCTATTTCATTAATTTCTATTTTCCTTTCGAGTTGTATTTTTGACACGTAAACTTTCCCGTTACCACTGACACTGTTACTATCTCTACTATTCTGGTATTTGAAGTGATATTTTTATCTCTGTGTGCTAATTCTATAGGACAACTTTGGCTGATGTACATACGTACCGGGTTCTCAGTCAGTCAGCTACAACGTAGGACCAGGCACATATATGCATCTGTCCAAGTTGCCATACCTCATTAACACAAGATGAACACCGGATTCATAAAAGTAGTTAATTCAGAGGTGGTAATATATAAAAGAAAGATTGCATATAAGGATATAGTACAGGAAGAAAGAATTAGTTAGTAGAAAGAAAGATAGGAAGGGATTTTAATCTCTTAGTTTAAGGGAAGACGGAAAGTGTATACACCGACGCCATTGTGACCGATTATGAGCCATGTCACCAAGAGTCTCCAACCATTGGTTACGATAGTCAAGCGGACCCAAACCAAGTAGTCTGCATTTACCAACATGGCTGAGACTAGAAGTTAGTGATTTGAAGCACTGATGCCACGTTTTAGTTTGGCCACCCCTAACTTTCCTCCAACTATCCCGAACACCGGTTAGTATTGTACGTCGTGGTAATCAGTGTTCAGGCATACGCGATACGTGGCCCAACCGGGTTCTACATTGTGACTGACTGTTTTTAATCATTACATTGTCGAGAATACCACGTAAAGATCGATGATTCTAAGCCATATTTAATCATAATATCATGAAATAATATTTTATTATTTATTCATTAATTCTGATTTTTCATTATTGAAGGTTTCTGAAACTGTAGATCTTGTTATGAAACAAATTTATAAAATACTTCATGATTGTGAATCATATCTTGAACCAATTATAAATGAAGTTAGTCAATCATTGAATGATACTCCAAGTACATTGAATTCAAAAAAATTTAATACTATTGCATTTGTTGAATTTATCATCAAATTAATTCCTCGACTTATAATGTTATTCACATCACTTGTACCGACTTTACATGCCGATGTCTTTCAAGGAGATTTACGTTTTGCTGGTAAGTTGTAGATATTTTATTTTTGAAGAATAATATCATAATACCAGATTATAGATTGTCCTTACTTCTATGATATACTTTCCAATAAATCTGAAAGGTTACATTAGACATAGTTGATTAATAGATCTTACGATAATGTCTTCCTATTAAATATTGCACTACTGACCAAACGTTTGCCTGAATCAACACATGAAATCGCCATTTTGGATTTTCATTTTTTAAACCATGAACTTAAACTTGAATTCGATTCTCTGGAACTTGTATTCTCAATGACACACAAAAATATTCTGTAAATAATCTACTCGTTTTTTTTTTACTAGAGTGGTTATAAAACCTGTACTTCCTCTTATATTCAGAATGGTTGGCGACTGAGTCATCATGAGTGTAGTCGCTGGGGTATAGTGCAAGTTTGACTGTTATTATTTTGTATTGTCGCGTTACATCAGGAAAATACATCGACTCATTAAAATCATTTCTACCAAGTTTTGTCAGTTGTTTTATTTATTATTTATTTGAACATATAAATAGTGGTATAAGGGGCCACCAAATATATATGCGCCACACAAAACAATGAGAATGGGAAGAGAAAAAAGAATGTAAGGTGTGTATAAGAAGAAAAAAAGGAACAATTACGACCACAGAGTAGTGTAAGGTAGTGTAATAACAATAATAAGAATAATGGGGAAAACGGAGAGGTGCAACCTGAAGAATTCTTTTAATTAAGGAAAATACAACCACTTTTTATGAAGAAAGTAAAAGAAGGTTACAGCAGGATCGCCACTGGCTTCTATTCTGAGCCATATCTGATAACGTCTCTAGCCACTGTGTAGCACCATCTCTCAGATCCCAGCCAGAGAGTCGCGAATGACCAACACAAGCCAGTCATTTGCAGCTTTCTTTCATGCCACGACACCATGTCATGCACTGACCACCTCTCCGCTTCTTGCAACCAGTCCCAGAGTCGGCAAATAATGCACGACGTGGAATTCTCTGGGACGACAATCGTAGAACATGTCCAAGCCACCGAAGTCGGTGTTTCAAGATGGTGACACCAATTGGATTATCGTCTCTGTGCCCGAACACACGATGCCGAACCTCTGCATTACTGACATGGTGTTGCCACTGGATGTCAGCAATCCTTCGGAGACAGCGATGATCGAACACAGAGAGTCGTCTAACGTCCTCAACTCGGAGAGACCAGGTTTCACAAGCATAGAGCAAAACTGCTCTCACCGACGCGTTGTAGATCCGACCTTTTACAGCCAGACTAACATCACGAAGGCGCCAAAGGTGGCCCAGATTGGCATATGCCGCTCTGGCTTTCACTATTCGTGCATTGATATCATCACTCACACCCCCACCAGCACTTATGATGCTACCCAGATACACGAACTTCTCGACTACTTCTATCTGCTCACTATCCAGGGCGAGTACAGGATTGAAATCCTGCCAGTCTTGTAGAAGTACTTTGCACTTCGAAGGTGCAAAACACATACCATACCTACGGACACTGATTGCCAACTGATTAAGTGCGGATTGTATGCCTTGGGCATTATCGCACAGTAAGACAATATCGTCCGCATACTCAAGGTCGAGAAGTCTTTCTCCAGGCAACAGATTCACACCACCATTACTTACATTCATCAGAGCTGTTTCCAGAATGTCATCGATGGCAAAGTCGAAGAGGAATGGTGAGATTGGGCAACCCTGCCTAACCCCACTGCTCGAATGGAACAACGGAGAGAGGTGGTTGTATGCCCTCACTCTGCCTGAGGTGTTTTTATATAGGGCTTTTAGGATGTTGATAAACTTCTCAGGCACACCCTTCTTCAATAGACAATCCCAGAGAACAGTCCTGTCCAACGAATCGAAGGCAGCCCTGATGTCAAGAAACACTACGATTGTTGGCCTTTGAAAAGTATGACGGTGTTCTAACATTTGGCGGAGGGTGAAGATATGATCAATACATCCTCTACCAGAACGAAAATCAGACTGCTCCTCGCGAATCAATCTTTCTCGGGTTTTGAATAACCTACGAAGTATGACGGGAGCCAATAGCTTGGACGCAATCGGAAGTAGACTTATCCCCCGATAGTTGTTACAGGAACGACGTGAACCCTTTTTAAAGATAGGGACAACCATCGATTCGTTCTATGATATTCGTATACTCTCTAGTTCGCAGACCTTTGTAAACAACGTCGTCAGTTCCTTATTCAGAAAGTCAACACCATCTTTAAAAAGAGCCGGAGGTAAGTCATCTGGGCCAGGTGATTTGTATCGCTTCAAGAGTTGGAGTTCCGTAAGTTTCGTCATTTCATTCTATTTGTGTGTGGGCTGTGATACTGCCCGAGTGCCCAGACCAAAGTAGATGGTTTTCTTAGGGGGCCACATTCCAAGCCTTTGACCTAAAGGTCTAGTCGACAAGGCAGTGAAGCATTGTGAGGAGATGCATTCCCATGGTAGCCGGTGACCAACAATTGGTTCATACGCCATTTGTTCCCGCAGGATACTGGAGCCCATGTGCACCATTGGTTTGGAATCCGGTTAAAGCGCCGGACATTCGCTTTCCGTCCTCTCATTTTCGTAAACAACATCCCCATGGTGTGAGAAGGCAGTGAGCTGGACTTCCCTAGCAGATGCTGTATACGCGTGGCCGTGTGAGAGCATTTCGAGAGGGCGGGCCCACCCCACTCTCGGCCTAAACAGGGCGTTTTTGGTCATTCATAGTTACATAATATACCCTTGTGGGCTAGGGTAATTTTACATTGGTTTTCAGGAGAACCAGACACCATCCAGACTTTCATGTGACAACCCAAACAGTACAGCTCAATCCCGTTTAACAGAGGAGCCAGACACCGCCTAGGCTTAAATTTTATAACTCGAACAGTACAGCTCAATCCTGCTTCACAGGAGAACGAGAAACCATATAGGCTTTAGCGCTACAATCTGAATAGTACAGCCCAGTATTGTTGCGCAACCACACAGGTACCAAGCACCCTTGTCAGTTGAGTTAGAGGTTATAGCAATCTATCGTCTGGATTGTGCACATTAAATCGCGTTCATCAGTATTGCTCATGTGGCTGACAATTTGTAAATGCTTAGGATGTCGTATTCACTACATAAATGCATGTTGCTACTTCACAAAGATTTTATATCGATTTTCAGGAATCGCATCTGGAAGTTCGTCATTAGTGAGCACATGAATATTATCACAACGGGGATTTGTGAAGGTTGTAGTAATTTTAACAGTTGATTTACTGTAGTTCTAGTCTTGACCAATGGAGTCCAATCCGTTTCAGGTGTAAGACAATTATCCACCTCAGACAATAGATGAGGGGTTGCTCAAAGATCATGGATCTACTGAATTTAGACAATAACACCGTTGGATACTGGCTCAGTGGTCTAGAGCTTAGGAGTTCTCACGTGTAACCCGAAGGTCTTGGTTTCGAGTTCCGCGTGCGGGATCGTCGGTGCGCACTTCTGAGGAGTCCCATACTAGTGCAAGACGACTTTCCTGTGCTTCTAGGTTTTCAATGGTGGTCTAGCTTAGATCGACTCGTTCATTATTTATTTGTTCATTTGTTATGACAGTTCCCACAGCCTTAGTAAGTAGGTGACTGACAATACTTCAACATAGATATAGAAAACATTTTTGACATCTGATGTAGATCACCTATGATTTAGACCAGGTGTCTGTCTATATTTCTAAAGAGGCTAAGTTTGATTTTTATCTCCTTCGAAACTTGAATCCTGACCAATTAAAGAAGTAAATATACAAAAACTATAAGTGATCGACTACAGAGGTCTTTGAAGCATTAGTCGCGTACAGTGGAAATATCAAATGAGTAATGTTATAGTTGGATGTAATGTCCAAAATAAAAATGATAAATCCATTAATTAAGCTGTAAACTTTCATCTATAACACGGATTAATATAATACTTCGAACATGTTTAAGTACTGCCCATGTTATGTAAATTTTCAAATGACACGTTAAAAATACTTTATAGGTTTTACTTACTTTACTACTCGTATATTAATTTTGTAATGTTTATAAAAAGAAAACTTATAATTAACAGCATTATAATGGAACTTGCGTTCTATATACTCATTAGTTTTATATGATAATATTTTAGTGTTTTGTCTAATTCAATAATAAACTTAGTGTTAAGTAAAAGTTATTCTTCTAATAGCTCCCAAATGCCCTGGTACGGCCGAGAGAGGGGAGAGCCAACTCTCCCTCTCCAAATGTTCTCACATGACCACGTGCATACAACCACTGCCAGGGAAGTCCTACTCACTGCCTTCTCGCGGCATTACTGTTGTTTACGAAATTGAGAGGACAAAAAGCGAGTGTCTTGCAGAGGCTTTAACCAAGTTGGTGGACACGGAGGATCCACCTAGGGGAGTTGGAAAACCCTGATTACAAACCAATGTTGCACATGAGACCGCATCTCCGTACGTTGCTCCACTGCTTTGTGGATTAGACATTTAGGTCGAAGGCTCTGAGTGTGGCCCCCTAAGAAAACCACCTACTTTGTTCTGAGCACTCGGGCAGTATTCCAGCCCACACAGAAATCAAATGACTTATGTGACTCATATTAATTCTGTATTCCTTTGTACCAATACTTTTGTGTACAAGTATCAAACGTTCTGTGCCTTATAATTAACATTTGATTTCAGAAGAAAACATTTTTCTTATACTGTCTCTCATTTTCACTTGTTTTCTTAATAAGATAGATCTGTAATGCCAACTTTTATTTATTTATTTAAAAACATAAACATTGGTACAAGGAGGCACCAAACAGATATGCGCCACATAAATCACTCGATTTGTGTGAGGGCTCGTATACTGCTCGAGTCCGCAAGTCGAAGTAGGTTGTTTCCTTAGGGAGCCACGCCCAGGACCTTTGACCTAAAGGTATAATCCACAAGGCGGTGGAGCGACATAGGGAGATGCGGTCCCATGGTAGCTGGTGACCAATGATTGGTTCATACGCCATTTGTTCCCTCACGATACTGGATCCCACGTGTACGATCGATTTTGAGTGAGGGTTATCCAACTTCCCTAGGTGAACTCTCCGTGTCCACCAACCCGGCTAAGGCGCCGGACATTCGCTTTTCGTCTTTTCAATTTGACTCTCCCCACTCTCAGCGATACCAGGGCATTTAGGGGCAACTTTACTTTTGTAGATTAATATATTTCTTGATGCTTTCGTTGTCTCAGTTTCACATTTCTAACAATAGTAGTAATATTAATACTCATTACCATTAAAATATTATGTATGTATGTATTTTTGATCCTTTTTTTCTCTTTTCTATTTTCAGTTCTTTACTACAATGATTGTATGTATTTAGCTCATGAATGTTTAACATTAGGTGAACGTGGTCTTTATAAATTTGTTCAACAGTTTTTAGACTTAGGCTATGATATCATGACTAATACATTGAACAATACTACTGTTACATCAAATGAATCAAATACATTCAATAATTTGAATATATTAGAAAGATCAGCTTCTTTAAGCACATGTATTTTGGTACCACATTTACGTCAATCTGGTGTTAATAATTTATTAGATCATTTAAGACGTGAACGACAATTTTTATTACGATATGTTGAAAGGATTCAAGGATTTCATGTAAGTTTCTTTTTATCAAAGAAAGTGTATCTTTGTGTACAGTTTTAATGTTTACAATTTCTGTTAATAGTTTTTTGTTTTTTTGTTTTTTCAAATTGTATACAAAATTCATCTGTGTGTATAAACATACATATTTCTGATAAATAAAATGAACCTTCTTTGGAAAAATATTCGATGACAGAAGTAAACTACGTGCATGATGATGAGCTAATCAGATTTGAAACAGTAATTGGTTTTGGATTTTCGCATGGAATTTAAAACTTACTTTCTCCTGTTACTCCTCATGGAGGAGCATAGACTGCCCACCAACACTCTTCATCCAACCCTGTCTTGGGTAATCCTTTCCAGTTTTTCCTAGTTGCTATTTATCCTTTTCATATCTGCTTCTATTTCCAGATGTAATGTGTTGTTTGGTCTTCCTCTTTTCCGCTTCCCTTCAGGATTCGAAGTTAGGGCTTGCCTGGTGATGCAGTTTGATGATTTGCGTAATGTATGTTCTATCCATTTCCATCATCTTTTCCTAATTTCCTCTCCAACTGGAAGCTGGTTTGTTCTCTTCCACAGTAGTCTGTTGCTGTTTGTATCCGGCTAATGGATATTGAGTATCTTGCGTAAACAACTGTTTATAAATACTTGTAAGTTCTTGATAATAGTTCTAGTAGTTGTCGAAGTTTCAGCTCCGTACAGTAGAACTAACTGTCTTGACGTTCATATTGAAGATTGTGACTTTGATGTTGGTTGACAGTTGTTTTGAATTCCATATGTTGTTCGACTGTAGGAATGCTATTCTTGCTTTGCCAATCTTTGTCTTTACATTTGTATCAGATGCTCCTTGTTCATCGATGATGCCGTCCTGGTAAGTGAAAGTTTTCAACTATTACAGAGCTTCTCCATCAAGTGTGATTGGGTTGGTGTTCTCCGTGTTGTATTTGAGAATCTTGGTTTTTTTTACATGTATGCTGAAGTATACTAATGCAGAGGCTTCTGCTACACTGGCTGTCTTGACTTGTATTTGTCGGTGTGTATGGAATAGAAGTGCTAGGTCATCTGCAAAGTCCAAATTGTCTAGCTGAACCCAAGCTGTCTATTGCATTCCGTGCTTCCTTGGGGATGTAGAGGTCTTTATAATCCACTCAGCCACCAGAAGAAATAGAAAGGGCGAGAGTCGAAATAGACAACACCAGATATCATTCTTTAATTGTAGGAATGCTGCCCTTGCTTTGCCAATTCTCGCCTTTACGTTTGCATCCGAATTTAAAAGACAATAACAAATAGTGTGTAACTTATTGATAACTCTCTAAGGATTATTTAAAATCTACCACTGACAAACAAGACACAAGACTGAAGATTGGAAATAAGTTTGAATGATTCTTCAAGGTAACAGTGACATAGTGATTAGTTTCTTTTTTTGTGTAGAAAACTGTCGAAATGAAAATATACATGAATTACTAGCATAATTTATCAATTTATTCAGGCTTATTTGAGCGAGTTTTAAAATTCCTGTTCAAAAAATCACTATCCACATAAATATTCAACATTATCTTTCAAAATAGCATTCTCTCACTCTAATCGTAATTCTTGACTATAACTTCTAATCCTGACCATTTTACGTTTATTATAATCAATGTTCCAATATGTGAATTTACTTATTCATTTAAACACATAAACATTGATACAAAGAGGCACCAAACAGATATGCGCCACATAAATCATTCGATTTGTTTGAGGGTTTGGATACTGTCCGAGTGCACAAGTGGAAGTAGTTGGTTTCCTTAGTGGGCCACGCCATGACCTTGAACCTAAAGGTATAATCCAGAAGACGGTGGATCAACGTAAGGAGATGCGGTCCCATGGTAGTCAATGACCAACGGTTGGTTCATATGCCATTTGTTTCCTTATGATCTTGGATCTCATGTACATCATTGATTTTGAATGAGGGTTTTCCAACTCCGCTTGGTGGACTCCCTAGCCACCAATCCGGTTAAAGCCTCTGCCGGACTTTCGTTCTTCGTCCTCTTTATTTCGTAAACAACAGTAATGCCACGAGAAGGCAGTAACACTTTCCTGGCAGTGGTTGTGTTCACGTGGTCATGTGAGAGCATTTAGAGAGGGAGAGCTAACTCTCCCCTCTTTCGGCCGTACCAGGGCATTTGTGGGCCCAGGTAGAAAAAACATGTGAAGGTTCTTTAAGAAGACCTTTATACAATGAATTGTTTTAGAATTAATTACTGTTTTTTAATTAACTGTAAAGTCACATTACACATTAAAGTTGTACGGTGAAATAATACAAGTTACGCGTGTTAGTATTGTGGTGCAGATATTAGTAGTACATACCAGTAATTGGAAGTGGGATGCTTGTCAGCAAAAGATTGAATTAAAGCGCACAGCAAGGGGAATTGAAATAATAACATAATTGAAGAAATTATAAAGTATATGTAAAGGACAGGTGATGGGAGATGTGTAAATGATGTATTGAATGTATAGTTTTCTCATATTTTACAAAAGCACTCTATAATTTAAAATTAAACAATAAATTGGTTCGCATAAAATGATGCACTATTGTTTTTTTCTTTTTAATCATCTCCGGTCATATCATAAATAACACTTCGATTGTACTGTACTAACTTTTGTCGAGCTAGAAGTATGTCCAATCAGGATATCAGTCTATCATTCAGTCAGCTGTTAATCTAAATAACATGTAGTATTCAGTCCTAACAGTCATTCAGCAGTGTTTCAATGGTTAAAACGTTAAACTTTTAACTCACCAAGTCGTATGTTCGAACTCAACATTTACCTAGATTGGTTCTTACAACTGGATAGTATCACTATTCATCATGCAAAATAAGTATAATTCAAAGCTAAGTACATATATGTCTATTTGGTAATGAGACAACGGTGGACGGTGGCTCAATTTCATAGATTGGTTGAAGTTAGACATTAACACTGCTGAATGCCGGCTCAGTGGTCTAGAGGTTAAGTGTCCTGGGCTCGAATCTCACAAAGCTGAATCGTGGATGCACATTGCTGAGGAGTCTCATACTTGGACGAAGTGATCGTTCAGTACTTCCAGGTTTTTCATGGTGGTCTAACTTCATCTCCACAAAGCCACTTCTGATAATAATCAGTTAATAAATTAGTTCCACAGTATTACAATGATAGAATAAACATAGTTCAAATGATTTTCTGTTAATGAATATTATCTATATGAAAGGATATCATTCTCATTTGGTCTAATCATCAAATTCCATTATTAGACACTTGACATAATGATAATAATTTGATCTTTCATTAATGTTATATTCCATCATCTCAGTGCTAAACACTATTCTATATTGTATGATAAGCACATATAAACAAACTGATCTATTCTATATTAGGCTTATGATTTATATTATTATTATTATTATCATTGAATTGATAAACATATTTACACGTACAATAAACGTCTCTTTCTTAATTTATAATTAACAAACTAGTGTTTATGCTTGTGTAAATCATTCAAATGAACTTTTGACCGGAAGATTGTATATCATAGAAAGGTATGACTGGCCTCCGACCATTCATATATATATATATATATATATATATATATATATATATATATATATATATATATATATATATATATATATATATATATATATATATAGCGAGAGAGAGAGATTGCATAAACAATGCCAATTATTTTGTTGTTTATTTCAAGTTATTAATTGAATGTTCGTTACATAGTGCAAGTTATTATTATTATTATTATTATTATTATTATTATTATTATTATTATTATTATTATTATTATTATTATTATTATTATTATTATTATTGGTGTGTGTTTGTTCTATTAGAAACTTATAAGTACAATATCGTGACCATGGCACTAATTAAACTAACTATAATAAGGGTGTTACTACTGTTATAAATGTAATACACGAGGTACTAGGTTATCTATTTATGCGTCAATGGATTGTTTGATGTACAGTGAATATGTTTTGATTGAGTTTTGTTCTCTGAGCTAGATAAATCTCTTATATAATTCTTGGATAAGATAAAAGAGATCCAAGTTAACAATAACAAATTGATAGTATGCTTCTACTTAACATCCTTATTCATCTTAGTCGAATGAAACATTGCGAAGAAAACTTCATCTCTTTTTCTCATCAATGTTACAAATCTCCTTAAGTATACAAAGTTACAGTCTACTAGAAATCATCAATTTATGCTTAATAACATATTTTCAATTGAATAAAACCTACAAACAGGCGATAAGAATACCAATATGAGGACTTATTTCAGTAGCGGTAATTCAGTGACTGGAAGCCTCAATGTGACCTGTTGTCAAGTCAGAAATGTGGATTCGTCATCATCAAAAAGTAATAGATGACAAACAACCACAATTTTATCAACAATGTCATTTTGATGACATAGCATTCACAATGAAAAGGATTCGAACTATCATTTCTGGAGACTCAAGTATCTCGAAAGCCAATCCACATAGATCAACATCTCAACTATAGTAGCAATAACTCAAGAATTTATATGATCAACTGTGTGCAAAAAGATGGGAACGCACTGAAACATACCTACAGTGAGGTAAAATGACGAGAAGTACCTGATAACTATCTTTCAAAATAACGGCTGCCCACGCAACTTCACCAAAAAATGTCAATTTATCTCATCAGCGGGAATGAAATCAAGTATAGAAACCGACAAATAGATCATCCTACCATGTATAAAAGACACCGGAGATTGTTGAAGTTGTTTGAGACTAGGCGTAGCACACGACTAAACTATGCAGCTCAGAAACCAAAGTTCCACCAAAATTGTCCACCTGAGCTACAAATCTTCTCCACCATCTCGATGCAAAATTTATTTTCATCACTTTTGAAATGGAATAACAAATATTATGTACTCAGAGGAGCGAGGTGGACAGGTTGAGAAGAATATAATCTCTACAGCATTAATGCTAGTATGGATAGGTTAAGAGAAGTCAGAAGGAAATAATGATGTAGGTAACATACTGATTCCACTCTTGTTCTAGAACTGTATAAATGTGTAGATCGCACTGATAATGGAGCAGTGGTTTAATTGTTATAGTGTTCAGCTTATTATTTATTTATTTATTTGAACACATAAATATTGGTACAAGAGAGCGCCAATATATATGCGCCACACAAAACAATGGGAATTCGAAGAAAAGTAGAAAGAGAAAAACAAACAAACTAAGGAACGCAAAAGAAAAAGAGAACAATGACGAAGAGATTGGAGTAAGGTAGTGTGGTAGTAACGACGGAACGACAAGGTACAATCAGAAGAAATCTTTCAGGTAAAGGAGACACAACCACTTTTTATAAAGAAAGTAAAAGAAGGTTACAGCAGGATCGCCACTGGCTTCTATTCTGAGCCATATCTGATAACGTCTCTAGCCACTGTGTAGCACCATCTCTCGGACCCCAACCAGGGAGTCGTGAAGGACCAACACAAGCCAGTCCTTTGCAGCTTTCTTTCATACCACGACACCATGTCATGCACTGACCACCTCTCCGCTTTCTCCAACCAGTCCCAGAGTCGGCAAATAATGCACGACGTGGAATTCTCTGGGACGACATTCGGAGAACATGTCCAAGCCACCGAAGTCGGTGTTTCAAGATGGTGACACCAATGGCGTTATCGTCTCTGTGCCCGAACACACGATGCCGAACCTCTGCATTACTGACATGGTGTTGCTACTGGGTGTCAGCAATCCTTCGGAGACAACGATGATCGAACACAGAGAGTCGTCTAACATCCTCAACTCGGAGAGGCCAGGTTTCACAAGCATAGAGCAAAACTGCTCTCACCGACGCGTTGTAGATCCGACCTTTTACAGCCAGACTAACATCACGAAGGCGCCAAAGGTGGCCCAGATTGGCATAAGCCGCTCTGGCTTTCACTATTCGTGCATTGATCTCATCACTCACACCCCCACCAGCACTTATGCAGCTACCCAGATACACGAACTTCTCAACTACGTCTATCTGCTCACCGTCCAGGGTGAGTACAGGATTAGAATCCTGCCAGTCTTGTAGAAGTACTTTGCACTTCGAAGGTGAGTGTTCAGCTTACAGCCTATAGTTCTCTGATTCGAACGCCGTTTCACTTGTTTCAGTTTGGTTGACTGCGAAGTATCACTAGCTGTGTTACACTAAGAATGTGACTTAAAATCAAATACACAAACTTGCACAACTGGTAAATTAATTGCAATTAGTTCTTTCTTGTGGAAACTAGCAAAAAATAATCGATTTATGACCTTCTCTGAATTTCATTTTTCTAATACATTTCTTATTTTCTCAGATGAAAATATTTCAATTCTCTTTTTTTTTTAATTTTTACATTCCAATGTGACCATTGACTGCATCCTTATGATAGACGAAATTTTTTTTATTTATTCATTTTTTTTTTAACACACAAACATTGATACAAAGAGACACTGAATACATATGCGCCACACAAGTCTTGATTTGTGTGTGGGCTGTGATACTGCCCGAGTGCGCAGAGCGAAGTAGGTGGTTTTCTTAGAGGGCCACACCTAGAGCCTTTGACCTAAATGTCCAATCTACAAGGCAGTAGAGCAACGCAAGGAGATGTAGTTTCATGGTAGCTGGTGACCAACGATCGGTTCGTACGCCATTTATTCCCTCAAGATCCTGGAGCCCATGTGTACCATTGGTTTTGAATGAGGGTTTTGTAACTCCCCTGGGTGGATCCTCCTTGTCCACCAACTCGATTGAATCCCCCACCGGACATTCGCCTTTTGTCCTCTCATTGTCACAAATAACCCCCCTTTTGCGAGAATGCAGTGAGTAAGACTTTCCTGACAGTGGTTGTATGCACATGGCCATGTGAGAGCATTTGGCGAGGGAGAACTTATTCTCCTCGCCATCGGCCGCACTAGGGCATTTGGGGGCAAACAAAAAAAAAGTCATGGAACATAATAGAATGAGGTACATTTAAAGTGCTGAGTTGCTAACAGTAATATGGAACACTGTTTAGGTGAATTGAATCTTTTTATTATTAAGATTAATCAGTTAGATTAGAACTATGTGTATCTCAACAGAAGTTAAATCATTTCATTTCATATATCAATTGTACCAAGTATTTAATCAAAACCGCTGACATAACAACCAATCAAAAACTTAATAATCTCCACAACCATCATACTAGTAATTAACATGTATTCACTAGTGACTAGCTTCGTTAGGGAATTCTCGGAGTTCTAGTGAGAAGCCGTTACCAGTGGAGCTAATCCATGTGGGATAGAGACAGGTATCTACCTCAGTACAATAGAAGATGGTCGCGCAATTTCGTGGATTGGTTGATGTTAGACACTATCACCATTGGATGCCGGCTCAGTGGTCGAGTAGGTTAAGCGTCCGCGTGCGAGACCGAAGGCCCTGGGTCGGAATCCTGCGGGCGGGATCGTTTATGCGCACTGCTGAGAAATCTCACAATAGGACGAAACGGCCATCCAGTGCTTCTAGGTTACAAAGGCGGTCTGACATCAATCGCTTCATGATCTCAATCAACAACAACCATATGTTAGATAACATGCTATATTTATTCTCATTGAATAAGTTATAGTATGAAAAATGAAGATAACAATTCTTTGTTAGGTTCATCATTTGGTGTTTCTCAATATTTTATAATATAATGGTATCTAAGTAAGATGTAATTTTATGTTTATGGATTATGTAATTGACTTTTATAAAATTGAAGCATTATGGTATTATGACAGTTACATTTATTAGTCCTTTCTGACTAATTCATTTGGAGAAATTTTAATTTGGCTTGATTGATTTTCATGTTCTGATCTCTCTTTTTGAACTATGAGTGAAAATTGTAGACTTAATTATTCAATCATTCATTTTTAACTTAAGATCTTTCAACAGTGTAAAACTTGGAACATTTTTTCGAAAAGTGTACATCGTGATTCCCATATGTTTTTCGCTCTCTTTCTCTCTCGCTCTCGCTCTGTTGCGTAACAATTTCACTTCATCATATTTAGCTTATTATCCTCTAAGCAGCACTGTTGAAGTAAATATGGATAAGTATCTCTAAGTTTCCAGTTTTTTCTAAAACTTTTCATAACTTGGAAAATCAGCGACCAAATTCTTTTGTGTCTGTAAGTTACTAAAATTAAAGAGAATACTACGAAGTGGTTGTTTTTTTCGTGTGTGTGAATAAAATCATGTACTTAAGTTGTAGATTCATCGATTCTGGACACGTTACCCCAAAGAATCATCATCAGCTACAACGTAGGACGAAGAACATATGGATGGTAGCCTGCTTGATTATCTGGACTACATGTTTCTGACATCAACATATCTCAAAAAGTTACTTATCGTTTGTTTGTTTTAACACATCTTATTCTCATAACCTATTTAGGCCTTACAGCATACAAAAAAGTACAATCAGAAACATTGTATTGGATGTCAGTATGCATTGAAAAGAATGATCATTGTTCAGATTTCGATTTCTGAACTGTTAACATCCAATTGGTGATAACTCAGTATTTATCGTTAGGATAGATGAAGAAACAAGGAGAGGAAACTTGATGAAATACTTTGTGCTGAGGATTCTATATTGTATCAAAAACCTGATATTGAATAAAGTCACTAATAATAATGACAATGATAGCATCAAAGAGGGGAAAGGTAAATTGAATAAAAAAAAATCACGCATTTCTAGGGTGCTGGCAATTCATCGATCCAAGCCTTAACTCTGCGTGCAACTCCCCAACCTGTCATAACCCTAGTGTCTTTTTCCAATGTGTTTTGGTTTTGTTTTCGAGTTCTACCTGGAGCTCTCCTAGGTTTACTCCAGATCTCAAGCCCAGGTAAATGAGGCTAGTTGGACTTGTGGTTAGCAACCCTGTTTCTTTAAGAAGAACCTCAATAAAAATCGTTAGACCTTACTTTACTTTACTTGCTCTTGTTACCTCTCGTGAGACATGGGCCACCGACCTTGATCATCATTTAACTTTTTTGTATGGTTATCATAACTTATACGTTTTTCATTTCCTCTTCATATCTCTAAACAGTTACCTTTCGTATTCTTGACCAGCAAATTATTCTCATCTCTGCCTCATTTCTTAATAACCTCTCGATATTTAAAATCTTGAATCACTTTATGATGTAATTCTATTTTTATTCTCTTATAGACTAACATATATATTTATCAAGCAACTGTAACAAATATACAGCCTAAGTAAATGGGAGCGAAAATTTCTGTGTTGAATTCTCTTATCTCTTATGATTCATTGACACAATGAATTACTTTTGATTAACAGTGATTATTTAACTCATATGTTTGTTATAGAATGTCAGTTCCTCGATTGGTAATCGTCATTGTACTACAGCTATAGAAGATTGTTGTCATCATTTGCATAAAATTTCAGAAGCACTCAGTCCACTTCCTCGTACAGTTTATTTTCGTGCTATGGGTAAGTTTATACTAAATCGATTTGGATGTTTTTTATTTATTTTAAACACACATAAACATTCGTACAAGGAGGTACCAATAACATATACTCCACAACCTCGTCATTCGATTTGTGTTAGGGCTGAGATACTCCCTGGGTGCCCAAAGCGAAGCAGGGGTTTTTCTTTGGAAGGTACACTCGAAGCCTTTGACCTAGAGGTCTATTCCATAGGGCAGTGGAGCGACATTAGGGGATGCGGTCCCATGGTAGCCCGTCCATGCACCATTTATTCCCTCAGGTTCCTGGAGCTCATATGAACCATTCAATATGTTCCTCATTGTTTTTTTCGTGCTTGGTTAGTTTAAATAAAGTTAGAATGAACCACGTTCTCTGAAGCAATGAGAGAGAATAGGTTGAAACTAGTAATAATAATGATAATAAATTTTTCTAAAGAGTCATCGTATTTTGGTTTGAACAGATGTGAATTTCACCAAACTACCTTAAGTTTAGCAATGTCTTAAGGTTGAAATAATGATGAGTTTTGGTTTTGAATATGTAATGATACCGTTATTAAATTAAAAGAAGAAATAAGAACAAATTCTGTATGCTCTATAAAAACCAATGAAGAATGAATTATTTATTTTGGCACCGATCTATAAAGCTCGTTTGGGTTTCTGTCAACTGACATCACCTATGAGGTACACGAGGTATTCGTCTACCAACCAAAAAACAAGTTAGCTGGACACCTGTATGTCCTCTTCTACTTTGTCTCTGTGATACGTGACCTTTAGAAATAGAGAATATTCGTATATTACTATTATTTGATCATATTTACGTGGTCTATGTTGGGACTATCGAGTGAGCAACGGTCAGGCTAGATCTAGGGTATTAGATAAAGATTAAAAATCGGTTTATGAATTAGTCAATATCCATAGACTAAGATTAATGAGACATGTATTACATGGCCTAAACACTACCTACCTACCTACTTAGACAGATGATGTTGACTGGTGAAGTCGGTTGGAAGTACACTAGTGACTGTTAAACTGTCTTGTGGTGGAAGGTAGGTACAGAATACGTGGTTGGGGTCTATGCAATTATTGTAACTAATTGTTGGAGACGTTGGATGATATGACTGCGTATCAGTCACAATGGTGTAGATACATTCACTCTTCGTCTTCCCCCCAGATATAGAGTTTCAAATCGACCTTATACGTTTCTTCTTTTACATATTCATTGCTCTTTTCTGAAGTAATGTTATCCATAGCTAATGCTTTCTATTAACATTAACCTTGTTACTAATTCTACTACTCTGTTTACAATTGATTGATTACATGACCAATATCATGTTTGTTAAGTGCTTCTTAATGCTGATAAAATTCTATTGACCAAGTTACAACATGGATCCACCAGGAAACATCAATGCCTTCAAGATTACTGATATCATTTGCTGACAATTCTCATATACGTTCAGAGCATACTAACAACTATCTCCAGTCACTTGAAATCTCTACTACCCTAATATATGTGTTCAGAATGTCATCTCATTGTGCTGATATGATGTGGGGAGATAATCATTACATATTCATATCGGATTCTACGTTGCGCATAACTGCTTTAAGTGTTTTAATAATTTATACTTACTCTTCATCTTTTAAAAAATAGTTTTGTTGAAAATTCTTATAGTTTTAAGTCAAATATTTCTTCAATAGTTCTCCAGTTGTTGTTAATCATGATGAGAGATAACTTCTAACTCTCTACAAGATCAGCTAGATCGATATTAATCGCGTCTGCTTACTAGTAACCATCTTCAATGTGGATTTTTCAAATCTCTATTATGAAACTGTAAGCGCTAAAAGTCAGTTAATAAGAACTTTGAGCATTTCCTGAATACTGAACATCACATCGGTTATGAGTCGCGAAACTTCACAAAGTTAAAGGTGTAGAAGCCTTAATTCTGACTGTATTGTATCGTGGCTCTGCATTTGGTTCGGTAAAAATATTGTGTACGGTCTATTGAGCAACCTTAAACGGCCAAATTAAAGGGGAGTGTTGGTATAAGAATAAGCTATGATACACAATTCGTTTAGCCAACGGCGTTTATATATATATATATATATATATATATATATATATATATATATATATATATATATATATATATATAATACGTGGGTCACAGATTGTTTTTGAATACACAGGCCTGCCACCTTGATGAGGTGACTGCTCTTACCTTCTATAATCACCTAACTAAGCTATATTGGCTGAAACAAACGTTTTTACCTTTCCAGGTGAGTCAACTAAAGTGCGATGAGACTTACATCAGCGAGTTTAAATTCTGAGAGCGAAGTCCTGTTAGCTACTATACTTAGGTGTAACGGTATCCGAGGTTTTTCTTTTACCTGACATCCGGTATCCAGCACCTTTGATCTATGTTAATTGGTTCAAACTATTTTGCTGTCGTTACGGTGATAACTACAGTCAGTTGTCGGAAACGTTGTGTGACATGAATCACAATTTATAACAGTGGTGCAAAGATGCATTCACTCGTTATCTTTGTTGGTTGTTTACTTTGCTAATTTCATCTCGTCGTGCTGATGTAGTTTAGAAACTTGTACTGACATTACATATATATATATATATATATATATATATATATATATATATATATATATATATATATATACTGATATTTTGTACCTCATCAGACTACTTGAATCCAGGCTGTCTGAACAATGTCTATGATCTGTGTGTATGTAGAATGAGTATTTTAATTATTGAGAATCAAATCGTCACTAAATTCAAATTCTTTGATTTATTTTATTATTTATTTCAACACATAAGTATTGGTACAAGAGGGCACCAAATATATATGTGCCACACTATATTTGTGTGTGTATGGGCTGTGATACTGCCCAGGTGCCCAGATCAAAGCAGGTGGTTTTCTTAGGGAGCCACACCCCGAGCCTTTGACCTAAAGGTCTAGTCGACAAGGCAGTGAAGCATTGTGAGGAGATGCATTCCCATGGTAGCCGGTGACCAACAATTGGTTCATACACCATTTGTTCCCGCAGGATACTGGAGCCCATGTGCACCATTGGTTTAGGATCCGGATAAAGCGCCGGGCATTCGCTTTTCGTCCTCTCATTTTCGTAAACAACAACCCCGTGGTGAGATAAGGCAGTGAGTAGGACTTCCCTAGCAGATGCTGTATACGCGTGGCTGTGTGAGGGCATTTCGAGAGGGAGGGTGGACCCACCCCACTCTCGGCCATACCAGGGCATTTGGGGGCAATTTAAATTCTACTTAACCAATTATATCAAACGTTATAAGGCAAGTGTTGCTGTTAGTAAGTTTACTTCATGAATATTTGACTGATGTCTTTTAAATTTGATTAACTTCACGTCTAGTGTGAAATGTTTAATAATTCTATTAAATAAACATCTACATCATGATTAGTCGAACTGTTTTCAAACACACATTACTTAATTAGGTAGGTACTTAAGAGTTTAATACTCTATGCACTTCTACTTTACTACAAAATTAAAACAATATAGTCTACAATATGTTCTACTACTATTGAATGATGTAAATATTCAAAGTTATTATATTTTGTTCATTATCATATGGTTTCTTTTTGTTCTATTCCTTTTATAACTTTCAGGGATCATGTGTAATTGTGTTTGTACGGAATTAGTAAAAACTATCTTGAAATTAATCGATATTACGAAATCAGATTGTGATAACATTCTGATCTTGTTGGAGTCTATCAAAAACACTGTAAGCCATTGTTATTATTATTATCATTATGAATATTACTATTATTATTATTATGGTGAAGCTGAAGTATAAGGACAAACTTGAGCATAATTGTAAATGATTTTCTGATAGGACATTCACACATTCAGCTAATCCAGTATGCAATAATGATGAATGAGCGATTTATGTAGCCCATGATTAGAATTTCGTTAAGTTATGGATGTATAGTCAGGATTAGAATGTATAGCTTAGTTTTATTATTGGAACTAAGATATAATGTCAGAAGGGGTTTTATGGAGATAGTAGTAATTTCAATAGTTGAGATCATGAGTCAGTTATGAGGTAGTAACTCACTGATGACAATGGTGGATGTGTTGCTCAATTTCGTGGATTCGTTGAAGTTAGACATTAACACCGTTGGATGCCGGCCAGCTCAGTGGTCTAGTTGATTAAGCGCCTGGCGCGAGACTGATAGGTCCTGGGTTCGGATCCCGCGAGGCGGGGTCGTGGATGGTGGTCTAGCTTCAATTGACTCATGATCTCAACTATTGAAATTAAGATATAATACTTATAACTTAGGTTTGTAAGGTTTAAAGGATTGATATAAGTTTATTTTGTCCTAAACTCTATATCTTCTCTCCAAACATCCCTGATTCTAACACTAAACTATATATTCTGACAAATTAAGAAAAAAAACATTTTCATATTCTCTTGAATAAACGTTTTTAATACGATTAACTGTTAGCTGTTCTGTTATTTCATCTAATTCATCATTCGTAAACGACATGTTCATTTGATAGAGATACTTCGTGGCTTTAAAACGATTCCTCGGTTCATGGCTGACTCAACCTCATAGCTTAATTTAGTCATTAATATTATTCACCATTTAAATAGATATATTTAGACCAGGAGGACAAATGAATGGTGATAATAATTCATTGTCTTTGTTGCTATCATTAAGCTTAACAGTTCAATATTTTTTTCGATCAGGGGAGCCATACAGATTAAATATAATTAGTAATAATTTGATTTATTCACTAGGTAGGTAACTCAAATAAGCCACATACACTGCAAGTGTGTTTTCTATGATATCTGATTTCGTTTACACATTTTATTAAGTTTCTTAAAAAGGTAAAGAAAGGGTGGACTTTTTTTATTTTCAGAGAGCTGTAGCATCAATGATAATTGTGTTATAAGATTATCATTATAGGATAACTTGAATTCTTGTCGGATCATGGTTAATACAGATTTGTATCCCAGATAAATCAATTTTTATACAACTACTTTTCTGTGACTTTAATGATATATTATCTTTCGACTGTTAGTTTTCACATTCAAACTCCGTTCTGCCTTCTTTTTTCTGGGGGGGGGGAGGAGGAGGACGACAAGTTTGGTAGTATTTCTAGCTTTGAAATAATACTGTGACTAAGCACCTAATAAAGACAACACTCATATATAGCCATTAAGTATGATGTTCAAGTTAGTAACCTTTTCTTTACTGTGTATATTTCAAAGACAGAGTAAATAGAGAATCTTCTGGTGCAATGTGATGTTTTTCCTGATTTTACATTATCCTTAACGTGATCTATTTCAACAATCAGAGAAGGGTTTATGTGAATATTATAGTAATTTAGTAGTTGAATTCATGAGTCAATTGAAACTAGACCACCATGGAGAACTTGGATGCACTGGACGGCCAGTTTTCCATGAGGATAAGGTTTATTTGACGCTCTTCATTTCTGTTTAAACAATATTCGAAAATTAACGAGAATATTTTTACATATGTATTTAATATCTCTTAAAGGGTCGTCGAAAAAACCGGATTGTTATATGATCTAAAGTTTTCGCTTCCATTAATTGTAAGGTACACATTGCGTTGGGAATTGAAAACAGATATAATGAATAGCAATAATAGTAATGAACGGCAACTGGAAAGGCAAGCCCATGAATGTTGGTTGGTGATTAGTGGTCGGCAACTCATGCTTCTCAAGTTTTAACAGGTGTAGGTAAGTAGTTACACAGGAAGAAGATGAAGAGTTGGCAAAACTTGATGTTCCAGCTGAACGACTCATAAAAGTGCTAAGATCATACGAATACTCAAGTGAGAATGAAACGCTAGCAGTTACTATTACTAACATGATTATAACATTCTAAACAACAACAAAAAAACACTAATCCTGTAATCTCTTTAGCATCAGTTTACTAATGGTGTAGTTTCTTCCTTTTATCGTTCTGACCCAATTTTCCTTTGTTTTTTTCTCCCTCTCTCTCCCTCTTTCTCGCCCTGTTTATATAATCGATCGGTTAGTGTGTCCTCATATTGTTATTTATTTATTTCTCTCTTCCTAAATAAATAATATGATAATAATATTCATTCCTTTCAATTCATTTTAAATACTTCTCTTCATGCAAAGGCTGAAGTTTTATAGATTATAACAAACTATACAAATAACCTTGAACTACTTTTCAAAACTAATATGTGTAAATTCTGTTTCGTTTTGCTTATGTGATTTATCAATAAGAATCTAATACAATTAGAATTGATAAACAGTTTCATTAATCTAATAATAGATGTTTTTCTATTCTAAATCATGAAAGACTTTCATCATAGATGATTCAACCAGCTGTAATAATTTGTGTAATCATTTCAGTGAATTTCGCCCTGAAATCTGATTGGTTCATTCATATGCTTTATTTTTACCGCCCAATATTTTCATAATTCAATAAATCAGGTTTTGTTCACTTCATCCAATGATGCTTTTCGTTCTATTATTATTATTATTATTATACTGTAACCTTAAGGTATTTACGCTGGTCAATCAATATTTTGCTTGTTCGAACACACACTTCTCTCCCATTTAAGGAAGGGAATTTTCTTGTGACCTGATAATTCCTTATGTCAGTAGAATAGACGGGAAGTTAATTTGAAATAAACTATGTATCTTCGTTGTTATTCAAAAAAGTGGGGATGGGTGGTTGGTTGGTTGAAAAACTCAGTTAGATATCAACATTTTTATGAATGTATTTTGGTGTTTGATTCCAAGTTATTATTTAACAAGAAAGATAGTGTTTTAGTAAATATGTTGACGATAATATGAAAAGTTGAGGCAGGATTGGGGAATTTGTTAGTATATTACTTGAAAATTACGCTGAATACCTGCTGTTTTCTGAATTAGCCTTGTATCGTCCGAGAATTTGTGGTAGACTGACAGATCCCTGTCTCACAAAAGTATTCGTAACACAATAGCTCTATATAATAAACTGGCCCTCTCTCCACTTTTGCAACCCAGTTCTATTGTCAGAGAACAATGCACAACGTAGCAGCCGTTGGGATAACATTCGTAAAACATGTCCAAGCTACTGATGTCGGTGTTTCCTGTTGATGGTACCAATAAAGTTATCGTCACTGCGTTCGGACACGTATTCCTGAACCTCAACGTGGTGTTTCCCCTGGATATCAGCAATCCTTTGAAGAACCTTTTCTATTCTCTTTCCTACGTGAATGGGCAGCGTCGCTTAAGATTCTGGTCATTTAACGCAAACACTGTCATACCCCAACACAGTTACCAGTATGACTTTAATCTAGAACCTTTTACTTTTTGTTTCGTCGCTTCCCAATCCACCTACGTTGGATGGTAGGACCTAAATTAACAAATTTTTCAGTCATTATAGATCAATTCAGTTATCACAAGCCTTGATCACGACGTCTAGTTAACAGCTACGATTGAACTTGACTAACCTAAAAAATTATTCTTCCCTTTTTGAGATTTTCTCAATGTCCACAAACAAGACACTGTATTGATTTTATTATTGTTTGATTATTATTGGTTGATGTTCGTTTCGAATTTTTAATGATGAATTTATTATTTGCTACTTTTTAAGCATCCATCACTTCGTAGAAGTTTTATGTTAATCGATTCCATAAAGTTTCATGTAAGCTTATTCATGTATGATTACTCGTTAGTTGCTACTAATATTGAACTGAGTCATGTAAGTAGCTGCAGACTATCTTGCTGAGATCCAAGTGACTATCGAAATCAGTGGTTGTTAACTATGGGTAATATGGCTTAAAATCATTCGCAATAGCGTACGGTTATTCACTCTTTGTCTTTGTCATATTTCGTCGATGCCTGATCTTTTTCATTTCTACTACTACTATTACTATCTCCTACTATTCTGGGTATTTTCCTGACAATCTCATTTCGCTGTGTTAATAAGCTCTGGTAGTTTGAACTGATGTACACATGCTCCGTGTTCTGTATTGTGTATGACCGACTAATACCATTACATAGTTACGTAAATGAATAAACCCCAACCCAAACTTTGCTGTTTCACAGTTCACATATAGTTGGCTAAATCATTCGATCCTATATTGTGTACACTAGGTGTTTTCTCGGGTACATAAAAATAACTAGTAAGGTTATTGCTCCTCGTTTTTATTGTTGGAACCATTAGGAATTTAATATATTTTTTTACCTAATTTTCTATCCTATTGATTAGATCGTGGAATTTTTCAAACCTTCTGAAGTTGTACATCAACCAGCTGCAAAAGAATCAATAATCAAATCACAGCATGTAAGTACATTTTTCTTTTTTGTTAAAGGATTATGAGGAAAAATGTAGTTATTACTGTATGAAAGATTTGTGGGAATTGTTGAGTTTCATAAGTAACATCATGGACTAAAATTTAAAAAAATCTGTTTTGTCCTAGTATGGAACTTCTCAGCATTTTGCATTTATAAGTTAGGCTCTCGCCGTTAAACTCAAAGGTCCCTTGTTTGATACCCTGTGGTGGGGTCGTGGATCTACACTGTCATTGAAGAATTCCGTGCTATACGTAGTAGTTGTCCGGTGCTTCTTGGTTTTCATTGACTGCCTTAATAAAATCAGTGCGCGATGTAAATGACTTAACATTTCACTGACCTATTGGATGGATGCTCGTGTTTGACAAAACGTTTTTTTGTACTTAGTTTTTATATTTTGTATTTAATAATAAATATCGGCTTTTAAGTTATTCGTTGCGAGTTTCGAAATTTTAAATGTTTTGTTGGAAGTGAAACAATCAGAATCCTTGCCTACACTGAATTAAATCCTTTTCGGGGTAGTACTTGTGAAATATAAGCTTGCATTACCGTTCTACTTAACGTGTGTTGAATAAGGGGCCACACCCCGAGCCTTCGACCTGAAGGTCTGATCCACAAGGCAGTGGAGCATCGTGAGGAGATGCCGTCCCATGGAAGCCGGTGACCAACGATTGGTTCATACACCATTTGTTCCCGCAGGATACTGGAGCCCATGTACACCATTGGTTTGGGATCCGGTTAAAGCGCCGGTCATTCGCTTTTCGTCCTCTCATTTTCGTAAACAACACCCGTGATGTGAGAAGGCAGTGAGTAGGACTTCCCTAGCAGAGGCTGTATACGCGTGGCCATGTGAGAGCATTTCGAGAGGGAGGGCGGGCCCACCCCACTCTCGGCCATACCAGGGCATTTGGGGGCTGAAATAGGGTAGTATCACAACCCACACACAAATCAAGTGACTTATGTGGCGTATGTATATTCGGTGTCTATTTTTACCAATATAAATGTGTTCAAATAAATAAACTTACATTATCCTGCAAGCATGTTTGTTTTCTTCTGAACTACATGGCTTTATATAAAGTAACTTTATTCAAAACAAATCATCAATGTAGTTTGTTTTAATCGAAATCATTGCTAGTTGTAAACTTCAAAAGTAGATCTATCACCAATGTTATTTTGATGCAAATGTACTGATGTTTATGAATCATTTATTCAAATTTATTAAGATTACATTAGCATTGTCACAGCCGATATAACTAATGTTTTTTTTTGGGGGGGGGTGTTAGATTATTGAATGTCAATTAGTTGTTTGTTTACTAAATTTCTCATTTATTCTATGTATAATACAATTGAAATGAAAATAGTGCATGAAATGTAAATTTTATTGTTTAAACTAAGTCTATATGTTTTACACCATCTTATCATAACTGTGTATTCGTTATTTGAATCATCCCGTTGGTGTTGAGAATTACAATGGATCAGTATCTTTTTTTTGAGGGTAGGGGGGGGTAGAAATGTGTACGCTGTATAGGTTACTTTGATATAGCCATTAATTCACAAACAATTTGATAAGCTGAAATGAATAATGGCGCGTTCCGTCCTACTTAGAACGTTTCAACTGAATGTATGTGGTATATTCAAGAGTTAGTGTTTGTTCTGGGACATATAGAACGAAACGTGCATTCAGGATTCAACTGCTTGCCAATATCAGTAATTTAGTTGTTCGTTTGTAAAGGAAACACAACTGAATGTATTCACTATAATAACGGATAAATATTTTTATTAGATTCAAACTAAAATGCCAAACGTTCCGAGTTATTTATGTCTTTTTTAATTCGCATAAAATCTGGTACGACTTTATTTATTTGAACACATAAATATTGGTACAAAGGGACACCAGATACGTATGTGCCACACAAATCTCATTTGATTTGTGTGAGGGCTGTGATACTGCCCGGGTGCCCAAACCGAAGCAGGTGGTTTTCTTAGGGGACCACATCCGGATCCTTTGACCCGAATGTCTGATCCACAGGGCACTGGAGCATTGTGAGGAGGTGCGGTCTTATGGTAGCCGGTGACCAACAATTGGTGCATACGCCATTTTTTCTCTCTCAGGATACTGGATCCCACGATCGATTTCGAATGAGGGTTATCCAACTCCCCTAGGTGGACTCTCCGTGTCCACCAACCAGCTTAAAGTGCCGAACATTCGCTTTTCGTCCTCTCATTATCGTAAACAGCACCCGTGGTGCGAGAAGATAGTGAATAGGACTTCCCTGGTGGAGGCTATATACACGTGGCCACTTGAGTGGATTTTTTCGAGAAGGAGAGCTGACTCTCCCCACTCTCGGTCGTTCCAGGGCATTTGGGGGCCGACTTTGCACCAAAAATAATATGTTCCAGAAGGATGTTTGTGTGTAGACTGTTGTACCACCACGTATGGACCTAAATCGAGACAAACAGTTTCCTTATGTGAACATTGCCTGAGTCTATGGTTAAAGGTCTAATTGAAATCGCATTTAAACAATATCAGGAGTTACCATCTTTTGGTAGCCAGTGACCGAAAACAGGTTTATGCATTATTAGTTCCTTCAGGATTCTGGACCTTATGTTAGTCATTGATTTTGGAACCACTATTTTCCTATTCCATTATGTGGACCGTCCGTGGGCATCAATTAGGTTTAAGCACTGGAATTTCAATTTTCTTACTTTTACCTTCGTAAACAACACCTACATGATGTGAAGAAAGTGATTAAGTTTTCTCTGGAAAGGAGTGTAACCGCATAACTGTGACAGTATTCCAAAGGAGTGATCGAGTTTTCCCTATCTTCAACCGTACCAAGACATTTAGAAACTGACAATTTATGTTCTGCTTTTCGTTATTCTTACTAAGACGTGTCAACTTACGAGCTTTGTACCGATATTGTACTTGAACCTGTGTTAGTCATACTTATCTAATGATTGGTATAAAATTGATTGCATAAACTCGTTAAACAGCTACAACTACTACTTAAGTACTGGATTTCAAGCTTGTTAAACTAATATTAACCTGAGATTTCATATGTTAATTCTCATTATTCATATGTACTGGGTTAATTGAATTATGGCATATCCAACTTTAATAGGTTTCAGGCATATGCAAGAAATAATTTTTCTCTTAACTTCACTGTAATCTACAACTGACTATAATCTCTATACAACTTCATACGTTTTTTTGTGAGAAAAAAAAGTTTTTATTCAGTTTCGAAACAATGAAATTATTATAAGCATGGATGGATAGTGGTTAACAGTGAAATCCAGGACGCGCGTTTCGTCCTGTTTGGGACTTGTCAGCTGAATGTACCTGCATCTCAGAGTTTGATGTTCACTCAACCCAGTACTGTTCACTTCAAAACGCCATCGCGTTATCCACTTAGTTACTGAGTCGTGACAGTCACTTGCTTGTGAAATGCATCTTTGCGTATAATGCTTGTGAATTAAGGCAATATCGAGGCAATACGCACAGTATGCACATATACCAATAAGAGACTGATCAATATCAGTCCTAAATATCATTGGGAAGATTCAAGGAAACAATACCAAGTGAATACAATTATTGGTTTAAGTTTATTAAAAGAGTAATATCTTCTTGCAAGTAAATTTCAGGTACTTGTGTACAACCTATACTCTAAATATTAGGGCTGATGATAATACACGGCTGCCCAAACCAAAATAGGTAGGGTTGGATTTCGAATCTCGAACTCAGTAGCCGCAAGTCGAGTGCTTCAATTGCTAAACTATCGCCTCCGTGTTTGGTGTATATGTGAATGTCATTTAAGCATCTGGTTAACATTTTTTTATACAGCTACGTTGTTGTCAATGGGATAGAGTTGCTAACCCAATCTTTAAGAGAGGAAGAGGGAGATGTAGAGTAAAATGATATTACTCACCCTTCCAATTTGAAGTAGAGGAAGCGGGACTCGAACTTGAAACCTAATCGTATGAAAATCAACCGCCTTATTTCCACAAAATTCTTTCACTCTGTCTAACAGCTTTCTTTTTCTTCTTACTTTAATTGATAAACAATGAAACGAATCGTAGCGATTAGTATATTGTTATTTGAATTTTGGCAAATCAATCTAAATTGTCAGTTGATATCAGTTTCTATACGAATCAAATTCATGAAAGTAATTCTCATAAAAATAATTCTAAAACCACGTTATTACTTTTATCCATTTTTATATTATCCTTCATTTTGGATTTGATTATTAACTCCTTATTACAATTGACAGTGTATAATCAGTAGAATTCGATCAACAGTACTAACAGATAAGGCGAAACTATAATTTATGGATGAAACAATCAGATCTTGTATTTTGACGAGATGTCAGTTCGTGATGGACGCACTAAATCTTATTCCTCACATTATTATTTAACGCTTATACAAACCTGGTATGTGGGTGGGAATTCCAAGGTTATTTTGGCGTTGCTCAAATATCGTCTCTAAATTATAGCCTTGTCACAGATTGGATAATACGACATTGATTACTGCTTAATAATCAATTAATTGTATATAGTTCAACAGTTATAATGTCTCAGACTATGAAACTGGGTAACAAGTTTGAATCTCTTACAACGGATATCAGTTCTATCAAAGTGACAAATATATTTTACTGTCTCACCTTAGTACCATTCTAACATGAGACTTAAATCAAACAACATTTTCTACTGATTACCTCTCATTATCTAACATAATGTGTATATTTGTGTAATAAATTGTAAAATTCCAGTTGATTAACTCATATAGACCTTTAAGTCAAAGACTTCGGGTATAGGCCCCCCCTCCAAGAAAGCCAACTGCTTCAATTTGGGAGCCTATGCGAGTTATCCAGCACCAACACAAATCGAATAATGAAGTCTGACACATATATATATCTTCTATTTGCTATCTCCTTGTGTCAATGTTTATGTGCTTAAATAAATAAATAAATAATCCGAATTCTTTTTATTAATCTTATACTTCATAGAATTACAATACTGATGAATTATTAACAAGACGTTGTCCAGATTTTCATCGTTTACAAGGTATTATATCAGTATTATCTGCATCATCATTAGCTGAAATTCGTGATATATTATGGAATGATGGTAATGGACCATTATCTATTGAATCTCATTTAACAACATCTGAATTACGTTGTTTAATAAAAGCTTTATATAGTAGTTCATCATTTCGTGATGAATTATTACAAAAATTACATTGATATTTCATCCCTCCCCTTCCCTATCCCCCTTCGTCCACTGATTGTATTTTCGTTTTCATTTAATGTTCTGTTTCTTTGTAATAAGATTTTCTTATGTTTCCTTTGTTTTTTTTTGGGGGGGGGGTTGATAAATCAATAATAACTTACTTACTTACGCCTGTTACTCTCAATGGAGCATAGGCCGCCGACCAGCATTCTCCAACCCACGCTAACCAGAAAATCAATAATAATAATAAGTGTATGTAAATGGGTTTGTATTTTAAATAAGAACTTTCGTCTAAATTTGATTAGAATAGTTTCACAATATTTGGGCGCCGAGTTGATATGAAACGTTAACTAGGAAGAATGTTGTATTTGTAAAATCTCAATGAATGAATTTGAAGTAAATCTAACATTTCACCTTAGCAATTTGGTTCAAGCTTTTTCAAGAAAATATAATCAAACATTTACTTATCGTCCTTTCATTTTTGTAAACAACACCCCCCACTATAAGAAGGCAGTAAGTCAGACTTTCCTGACAGTGGTTATATCCACATGATCATGTGAGAGCATTCAGAGAAGAAGAGCTCACCTTCAACCGTAAAAGGTCATGTGAGGGCCGAGATGCATCACATCAATGATATTATAAGTTAGTTTTCTAGTTTTGAATAATGAAACTGACAAATTTAAACGACTGATGTGTGTAGAATGATATTTTGGCTTGTATTTTCATTAATCAGTCAAGGAATATGTTTATTAGTCTTCTCAGTGTTGCAACTAAGGTAATGGAATTGATTATTTTCTGAGATTCATTTCATAAATGACATCAAGAACTCTTATTCAAAAATTTATCCTCTCTATTGAAAATATGTTTTTTTATTTACTATATTTCGTTCCAACTTTGCCTGTAGCTCTTCCAGAGTTACTGTCGGTCCCAATCCCGTGTAAAGGAGGGTTGGGCAGGGGGTTAGCCACCCCATCCCGTAGAAGACTAACTCGCTAAAAAACCGCTAACCAGAGCACATTACGTCGGGAAATAGAAACAGATATGAAAAGGATGAATAACAACTGGAAGAAGCTAGAAAGGATTGCTCAGGACAGGGTTGCATAGGGAGTGGTGGTGAGTGGCCTATGCCCCTCTACGAGGAGTAACAGGCGTAAGTAAGTAACATATTTCGTTCCGAATGTAGTGTAGTTCTATGGTCATAATATATATTCAAAACAAACTTGATAGTATGGTCATCTGAACTAAATTCTCTTTGGTATTTGGATAGTCGGAGTTTCTTTTAGGGATTGTGCTATGTTTGAATTAGTCGTACTCGTTAACTTTTGGTAGTTCTGTGCTTAGTAAGTACTTTAAATATTTGTCTGACTGACAAGAGGCCTTCTGTTGTTTAGTGGCTAGTTAATTTGTGTTGTAGAAGTTCATTTTAACCAACAGAGCTTGTCGAAGGCTTTCCTAAATTTGTTTGACGTGAGGATTCATCGGTTTTTATATTTCCCAAGCGGTCTAATTCACAAAGCAGTGAAGCAACGTTAAGAGATGCAGTCCCATAGTAGTCTGTGACAAACAACAATTTCATACCCCTTTCGTTCCTTCAGCATCCTGGAGCCCATGTCCATCATTGGTTCGGAATCAAGAATTCCAAATCACCTAGGTGTGGATCCACTAGCCCGGTTAAAATTCCTGCCGGACATCCTCTCAATTTAGTAAACAACACCCCCACCACAAGAAGGCAGCGAGTCAAACTTCCTTGACAGTAGCTATATCCACATGATCATGTATGACCATTTCGAGGGAGAGATAGAGAGCTAACTCTCCACCCTCGACCGTAACAGGTCATTTGGTAATACAAGTTATCTTTCAGGTTTTGGATAATGAAACTGACAAATTTAAATGATTCATATATGTAGAATGATATTCAATGAATCAAAGTTATTATTAGTAATAAAACCGATTGTTAAGAAAGTCATTTACTTACTTACACCTGTTACCCAAATTGGAGCATAGGCCGCCGACTAGCATTCTCCACCCCACTCTGTTCTGGGCCTTCTTTTCTAATTCCATCCAATTCTTGTTCATTTTTCTCATATCTGTCTCCATTTCCCGGCGTAATGTGTTATTTAGTCTTCCTCTTCTCCTTTGGTTATGGGGATTCCAAGTGAGGGTTTGCCTTGTAACGCAGTTCGGTGTATTCCTCAATGTGTGTTCTATCCACTTCCTGAATTCTTCCTCCACTGGAATATGGTTTGTTCTCTCCTACATTCGGTGATTGATGATAGTATCTGGCCGACGGACACGAAGTATTTTACCTAGACAACTATTAATAAACTTGTATTGTCTGGATGAGGGCTTTCATAGTTCTCCAGGTTTCTGCCCCATACAGTAAAACTATTTTGACATTTGTATTGAAAATTCTGACTTTGATGTTGGTTGACAAACAGTTGTTTTGAGTTGCAGATGTTCTTCAATTTTAGATATGCTGTTCTTGCTTTACCGATCCGTGCCTTCACATCTGCATCAGATCCATCGTGCTTATCAATGATGCTGCCCAAATATGAAGAAAGTCATTAACATAGTGATATTTCTATATTGAATTGTATGATACATAATTAGTTTTGTGTGATGTATCCTAAAGTACATGGATTTAAGTCATTCACAATTATCCATGTAACTAGCTAATAAAAATGAAGAACAAAAATAACTGAAATCATACCATTTTAATGATTATTAACTTTAGGTCATATTATATTTATTATCACCAATATACATGCGTCCTTAACTATTTAAGGACACATTTATATAATTACAATTACAATAATTGTATGCATGAATTAAGTTGAATTTTACACTCTTTAGAAAGCACTTTAACATAATTAATCACTATGTCATACGTTTTTTTGTTGTTGGTTGATTGTCATTTTCCGGTGATCAAAGCTTATTTTGAAGTCTTGTGATTAGAATTTGACTTCTAATATAACAATGTTTCGTAATGAAGTACTTGATCTAACTGTTTAACCTTCATTACACTTACTTACTTATTCCTGTTACTCCTTATGGAGGAACATAGGCTACCCACCAATATTCTCCATTCAACTATGTCCTGGACAATCCTTCCTAGTTGTTTCCAATTGTTATTTATCCTTTGAATGTTTGTTTCCAATCTAGAAACTTTCATCATGTCAATACAATTCTGAATGAAATATTTTGGAAGGTAAAAAGAATTAATATGTCACATAAAATCTTACTTATATGATGGACACATTCATGAGATTGCTTCCATTTAGCGGTCAGTTTTAAGGTTCTACACCAACTATTGTTCACATTTGTATGATACTTCAATGTGATTTGTTTAGTTCCTGAGTTATTTTTTTAAATAAATGTTAATTTATATAAATTAGATGATACATTTAACTCCGCCTGAAACCCCCTCTGAGGTTACTGTTGGTTCCAAGCTCGGATAAAGGAGGAGGATTGGACATGAGGTTAGCGACCTCCTCCAGTTGAAAACTAACTTGCTGATGCATTTTATTGACTAACTGATAGCAAATATATGAAGTCGAATTAAGTAGCATATGCATGTATGTAATAAATGTTTATCCACAGTTTAGTAACTGATTATAGACTTTAAACCATGTTACCGGAATGGATTAGATAATTGATGTATGATGTAACGTATTGATCATATTATAATGAACTACACTATTTCAACTGAAATGTTCGTTACAGTTCGAAATATGTAGCAGTCGAATATCAGTAACTTATAGAGACTTCATGATAATTCATGGACTAACTCCGCGTTATTAACTTGAAGAGGTCATGAAGTTTGTGCGGATGTCGTTCAGAAGAATGATGAAAGTTCCACGACCAAACCATCCAGTTCAGAGAACAAAAAACATCCATCTGAGCTAAAAAAAATATCCACTATCTCGAAAAATTAAACAGAATACTATGAATTCATTTGCTACAGCCTATAATATTGTTAAAAGCCAAAATTATTATAAAGTTTGCATACTTCTAACAGTAAAATTGAATATTTATCATCATGATGGAGTAGTGAGATTGAAGATATATAAAAACTGTTGTCAGTAAATATAATATGCGAGGGAAGATCTTGGATAATCATCGGACAGTAACAACAAACCATAGAGACAAAATAATTGTAGTGACCTACTTTTACCAAGAGAACGCAATTGATTTAATGAAAACAATCATTATTATAACCAATTGTACCAGTGATTGTTTAACTGTGTTAGGGGCAGCCATATTACTCCTCCATTACTCTCCCTTACTTTTCCGTGGATTGTGACCTTGCACGGGTTCTGTTACCCTCGGTAACCACGCTTGTACTCCTTTGGCACGATCTCGGTGTCCTTTCTATACCACGAGATCGCCAACAAATACATCTCGACTACAGCCATTAACTGCCTTCTGATATTTGGCTTACGGGGGATTTTATCAGTTAACTGGCACGCAGTCTTCTTGTAGTGGTGTGCATAGTCAATAACGACTCGACTCCACGCTACAATATAATGAAGTAGCTGAACGCAAGTTGATGATAAATCAATTGAGATTGATCTGTTAGACATTTAATAGAAGTGACCCAAGCACCATAGTAAGGAAAGATTTACAACTGTTTCCTTCTGCGTATATAAGTTTGGCTTAAGGCGTGTGATAATTACAGCTTTAATGAACTGGTGAAGAATGAAATTTGACTGTCGATTGATGATACTCAAATATCTCAGTCTATTAACTTAATGGCCTATATCACTGAGATGTTTCACAATAATTCCATTAATCTGAAGCTTTTTCGGATATGTTCTTAGAACTTAAAGTGGACCCTTCAGGATATAATATAAAGATATCCATATATGCTTCAAATTTCATATGGTTGTGTGTTTTGTAATCACGTTTATATGATCAAATCATTGAAACTTGTACATAAATAACACAAAATCTATTGAAATAACTATAGTCTAGAAATGAACATGATACAAGTCACAAAATTGGTCATCTTCATACATTTTATAAATATATGTCCATTTATTTATCTATTCCACAGTGAAAATGATTATCGATTAGCTAATAAAATGAAGTACTGTTTACGTAGTTAATGGAGG